CCCCCCCTTCCTCCATGCTAATTAGGGATCCTCTGCAGGAGCTATATTCTAAATCAGGATATCTAGATAACACTTAGACACAAGTGACACCATTTTAACATCATCCTTGATCTTTAATAGCTAATGAATAATTGAATTATGCTTTAAGTTGTGAAGCATCATCTGAAATGTGGCCAAAATCGTGTTGTTTTATTAAGAAATTAATTTGGTTTTATTTTATGAAATGAAACAAAGACACTTTTCCTAGATGTCGATAAATTAACTTGAGCAAAATATATTTTCTAAAACCCTATGTTGATTATACTGCATACTCACAAACCATTTAATGTCGTCACATAATTCCTGTGTTTATCGAAGCACACTGTATATTTTACCTAGCTTTGCCAGCTCTATAGAATTAAATCCCTAAGTTTCTATTGTCCAAATGTAATGTTTTGAGTTTGTTACAAAAGGTCGCTTACACTCAAACTATTCCAACAAATTTGTCCCAAGCCTCACAAGTTTTCTTTACTAACTTTCCTTTTCTTCCTTTTCCTCCGGTAACCAAATTTGAATTATAAAAGATAGATAGATAGATGGACAGAAAGACAAAGATAGATATATAGGAAGACAGATAGATATATAGATAGATAGATAAGTAGATATATGATAAGTAGATAGATATAAAGATACATTACTACTGTCTACTGTTTACTGTTTGCTGATTACTGTTTACTGTTTACTGTCTCTGTCTACTGTCTACTGCCTACTGTCTACTGTCTATTGTCTTCTCTGATTCTCAACTGTATACCATCTCCTTACTACTACTTTCTACTGTCTATCATCTACTGTCTACTGTCAACTACCTAATATATTAGAAAAGAAATAGCAGACAGTTTAATATATTGTAGTAGACCTCAGAACCTATAGATATAGTTTAGCGGAGTTGTAGATAAATATATTGCTAAAATTATTTGTATTATTTGTATTATAGTTTGTATCAATCTATAGATGTATTTGGTCCTAAATGTTTCCTTTCATATCATTCCATTCATGAAATGGATGACCTATATATTCCCATTCATTCCCAGAGTGTAAAAATATATTCTCATACTTCAGGTAAGATGTTCATACATTTCCATTAAATGGTTTTGTGAAAAATTGAAGAAAAAAAATTTCTTCTGTTGATGAATCTGCTTTTCTTATTTTTTCCTCTGGCTAACAAGGTTTCGGGGTAACATCTTTTTGGCTATTAAAATTATTTTCTCCGTGGAAAAAAAGGTTTTCACTAAAAATTTTCATGTTTAAGAATTATTTTAACTAGCAAAAAAGGCCTTTTTGAGGAAAGGTAACATCAAAAGTTTGATCATTTAAATAAAATAAATATTAACAATTTTTTTTAGTTTACAATAATTAAAAAAATCTTCACCTTTCTATTAATTATTTTTTTTCTCTCGAAAAAATTGGAAATTATTTTGAAATATTTTTTTACGACAATACTATTTGAATTATAGTCTATCTGCTTATTGGCAAGGAATTGAGCAGTTGGAAAAATTATTCAAGTTTAAAGTTAAACAATTTATAGTTTGATGGAAATGTTGAAAAAGTTTAGTTCATGTTGGATTATGCAATTAATTTTTAAAATGAAGGGGACTATAGATTTTTCTAATTCATTAATATGTATTGGTTCCAAGAATATAAAGCGCCGAGGCGCCAATTAAACTTTGAAGTTTTTTCTCTTTTCTGTTTGCAAATTCTGCAATCACGAGACAGTTTTTTTTATTTCAAGTTTTTAGTTATGTTTTCTTATATAGTGCAAACCCACCAGAGGTTGCTGCATTTTCCCTTAATAAAAATATTGCAACCAAATTTCAGAATCGTCTATTCGGTTGCGAATTTACGGAGAAATCCCCATAAGGCCCCCCAAAAAAAATATTTTGAAAAATTTCATGTTCTACATAGTTTTAATGGAAATTTTATGCTGAAATCAAATCTAAAAAGTGCTTTAAAATTAAAATTGGATGAGTTAAAGCTATGTAAGACTCACCACAAACGTTTTTTTACATTTTTAAAAGCGCTTTTCAGATTTGATTTCAGCATAAATTTTTTTAAAAATGATGTATAACATAAAATTTTTAAAATATTATTTTTTCCTTAAGGTGATTTCTCCGAAAATAATCGTTAAATCGCAACCGTATGGACTATTTTTTATTGCAATATTTTTTTTAAAGTGAAAACGCATAAACCTCCCGTTTGGCGTTTGGCTTAATTCCAATATTGATCACCCTTACTCTACATGTACTAGACATATTTTTATGTACTAGATATAAAGAAGAATATAGCTGTACTCACTGTGTAAAAACTATTTTGGATAATCTATCTTTAAATGTACCAGATGTTCTTGTATTTACTTCTTGTACCAAATATTTAGGAGAATCTAGTTGTACATGTACTAGGTGCACTTCTATGTACTTAATGTACTAAATATTAAGGAAAATCTAGCTGTACATATACACTTATGTACTTGAATGTATTTATTGTGCTAAATGTTTAGAATAATCTAGCTGTAAATGTATTAGATGTACTTATATGTCTTATTGTGCTAAATATTTAGGAGAATCTAACTGTACATTCACTGGGTGTTCTTGTATGTATTTGTCGTACTAAATATTTAGGATAATCTAGCTGTAAATGTACTAGACGTACTTGTATGTACTTATTGTACTAAATATTTAGGAGAATCTAGCTGTACATGTATTAGATGTACTTGTATGTACTTATTGTGCTAAATGTTTAGAAGAATCTAGCTGTAAATGTATTAGATTTACTTGTATGTCTTATTGTGATAAATATTTAGGAGAATCTAGCTGTACATTCACTGGGTGTTCTTGTATGTATTTGTTGTACTAAATATTTAGGATAATCTAGCTGTAAATGTACTAGACGTACTTGTATGTACTTATTGTACAAAATATTTAGGATAATCTAGCTGTACATGTATTCGATGTACTTGTATGTACTTATTGCGCTAAATATTTAGGAGAATCTAACTGTACATGTATTAGATGTATTTGTATGTACTTATTGCGCTAAATAATTAGGAGAATCTAGCTGTAAATGTACTAGATGTACTTGTATGTACTTATTGTGCTAAATATTTAGGAGAATCTAGCTGTACATGTATTAGATGTACTTGTATGTACTTATTGTGCTAAATATTTAGGAGAATCTAGCTGTCAATGTACGGAATGTGGTTGGGAGTGGACTCCTATCTGTGGAAATTCAAGAATATATGACAATCTTTGCCAGCTGAAATATGCGGCATGTACTTCCGATACCAGTATTTCTCCTTTACCTTTACATATCTGTGGTAAGTAAATTCGGCATATTGGGTTTGTTAAAGAAAATTATAGTGGCCATATATTTACAGGCTTCGTTGCGACATTCACAATCCTGCATATTAGGGTGTCAGAACTTAGAAATCATGACATAATGGATATCCTTATAATAGTAAATATCTACCAAATTGTGTCTAGGATCATTGAAAGAGTTATTAATTCCAAAAGTGGTTACGCGGATAATATAATCGCAAAATTTACAAATGAAATTTTTTTTTTAAATAACAGAATTCTTCTTTTAGATTCCGTAGATTCTTCAGTAAAATATAGTACAACAACATTAACAACGATATCTTCTCGTAAACTGTTGCCAACTACAACCACCACTTACTCAACAAAAACAACAACAACAACAACAACAACAACAACAACAACAACAACAACAACTAAGACAACAACAACATCAATACAACTACGGAAAACAACCCTGCCGACAGTTGTTAAATATCAAGTTGGAGACTGCTCCAGTAATCCGTGCCAGGTAGATTTTTATAAATTTTATAATTTTTAAAATTGTTCAATATCGTCTTAAAGGGACAGTAAGCAAAATTTCAAATGCAAACATGCCAATGTCCGATTTACGATGTACCCTTAAAACCTTAATCTAATAATAACAATGTAGCAGATACTGTCGTTTTTCTGACTCGAATAGCTTTAATTCTGATAATTTCGCTTCTCTATTAATTCTTAAAAGCAAAAAATGTGCAAGTCACTTTTGCAGAATACCCGCAAATAAAAATAAACAGTTTAAAGAAACAAAAACATGGATATCTTATTCATTTACTTGATCAGACAAAGCTTTTCAATTCCTTTAAATTAATTACGAGGTATTTTTTCTTTCTTTCCAAAGCAGCATTTCCCCAAACATGTTTTACATATTGTATAGCAGAATAAAACTCTTGGAAAAGTGGTTTGTCAAATATATTTACCCTTTCTAAACAGTGATGTTTCCTTTCCAAATTGTTTTGCTGAGTATTGATACTTACTACTCACTATTCAATGCTTTGAATAGAGTTCCTAGATTTCCTCTCCCCTTGCTTTTCTATTCAAGTTAAATAGATCTGCACTAGTCCACACTTCTATCAATAGAAAATATGAATCAACAGATTAAATTTACTAAAGATTTAATGCATACGTTGACAAATTTATATTAAAGGGATTGTTGACGGATTTTAGATTGAATCTCTTTAGATCCATATGTCCGAATTACACTAGTACCCTCGAAACCTTAGTCTGATAATCGACGACGAAGATATCTTTATCTTTATAGCTTAAAATTGAGTGTTGAACAAATACTTACAGTGTACAATAAGCGAACACTGTAAACTTCGTAAGAATGGCGTTTAATAGTTCTCAAAGGCTCAGCTTTTCCGTCATCCTTTGTCAGACAAAGCTTGTAACAGCACCGTAATCCAAATAGATGATTACTTGGAATCACGTTTATTTTACATTTAATTATAAATTCATTGCGCTTCACAATTCTCTTTCAAAAGTTTCTTCCAATCCGGACTTTTCTCTACATTTTTTTATTTCAATGATTCCCAAAGTTGCATATTTTCTTCTGTTCATCTGTGAATTGCGGATAACACGTTTTGGACCGTTTATGTCAAAAAAATAAATGTAATAGGGGGGGGTATGGGTTCTTCAGGTTGATTGACTAGAACAAGTTTTATTTTAAGATAAATTTTTGGAAGCAAATTTAAAATTTTGTTTAGGGTGGAGGAACTTGTGAAGCTCATGATGGAACATTTACTTGTTTCTGTCCAGAATACAGAATAGGACAATTCTGCAGGAATCATTTTATATTATTCGTACAGTGGCCGGGACACATAGGAAGACGACAACAAAATACAGGGTGTCCCACAAAAGCATGGTGCAGTTAACTGACGACTTTAAGATTGTTTTTGACCTTGAAAGCTATTTAAAATCAAAATTTGTATTATAACATTGTTTTATTGTTGTGTTCCTCGCCCTCAACACAAACTTGTGCAACCTTTTTCAAATACACACTTTATTCTTAGATACAGGGTTACCCACAAATTACGAGACTTCAGGGACGACTGTACAGACTTTATAATGTCTATTTTTTACATTTATGATTCTCTGCAACCGTAAACTGGTTTATCTCATTAAAAGGTCATGGAAATAATCTTCGTCAAGGCAAAAGACTTTAATTTAATCTTGAAATCGTCTTATTTAAAGACTTTCAAGTCGTCTTTACAGTCTCATCTTTTATGTGTGATCCTGTAGCTAACCAATATTAAAAACGATTTCTCAACTGCCATGATTCTGGGGACACCATGTATATTTTTATCTGAGTTGACCCTCTTCAGTTCTTGGGCGTTGCTCCTTTTAAGTAAATTTACAACAATACATTTTGAAATCATTGGAACGAATCAAATCAATTCTAAAAAGTTTTGTTTCCCTTAGTTTCGCAATTAAATATATGTATTTGCTTACATCTGAAAACAAAAAGCTATTAATGATCTTTCTTACCAAAGTATAACTTTTCTTAAAGTGTTTATTTTAACAAATTATGTGCAAGAGGTTTGTTCCAAACACCGCTTTGAATTACAATATGGCTCTATTTGAAAGGTTCTTGAGTCAAGAAGTTCTCTAATAAACTATCATAAATTGACAAAAAAAAAAAGAATGTCGGACCAAATTTTGCGTGGGATTTTACATGGCCCTAGGGAAGGTTTATGAATGATCCAACAAAAGTTGGTTTACATTAAATTTTAAAAATCCACGACATTTTTTTAGAAAATCAGCTAACCTTTTGTTTTTTTGTTTTAATATTTATACAAAGAGAGAATGTTCACAATCAAAGCCTTATAGGTTAACATTTTAAATAGCAAAGTAAAAATTTACAAAAGCTAGATTTTTAACATTATATATAACTGAGGGAAAAAGATTTCAAAAAGCTGTGTTGGTAAACTCTGATATAACTTTTTAAAAAAAAGTTCTTCAAAAATTATTTCTGATAAAATGATTTCTTAGTATTGAGATACCAACAGATACTCAAGATATCCCTAGGTTCTCGGGGTTCTCTTTTATACAGTATAGGTAACAAAATATCCATTTTAATTCTAGACAAGATTTTGAAGGAAAAAAAAACAAAAATAAAAAACAAAGTTAAGTTTCAAATTGAACCAGACCAAAAAAAGGTACATATTGACTGTTGCATCTCTGAATATGGGAAACCTTTCATTAATTCAATCTATCTTCAAAACGAGAAATATTTTTTTTATTTTATAAATACTTTTTTAAAGAAACATTAAATCAACAAAAGAAACCAGCGTTTAACTATATAACAATTTACCAGATAAAAAAAACACTTAACCTACGGCACTGCAGACTACACAGACTGCTTATCTCCTTGAGGGAGTGACAGCAATTATCAAAAATGTCAAAAATAGGAATTTCCCAAATGCCTGGGTATCTGCGAAATTTCCCAAATGCCTGGGTATCTGGGAAATTTAATTTTTAAGATTTTGGAAATTTCTCAAATGACTGGAAATTTTCAAGATACCCAGGCATTTGGGTAATTTCCCAAAAGCCCAGGTATCTGGGAAATTTTCCAAATGCCTGGGTAGCTGGGAAATTTCCCAAATGCCTGGGTATCTGGGAAATTTCCTAAATGCCTGGGTATCTGGGAAATTTCCCAAATGCCTGGGTATCTGGGAAATTTTCCAAATACCTGAAGGTATTTGAGGGTGGTAAATTTTTAAGATTTTGGAAATTTCTCAAATGACTAGAAATTTTCAAGATACCCAGGCATTTGGGGAATTTCCCAAATGCCCAGGTATCTGGGAAATTTCCCAAATGCCTGGGTAGCTGGGAAATTTCCCAAATGCCTGGGTATCTGGGAAATTTCCCAAATACCTGGGTATCTGGGAAATTTCCCAAATGCCTGGGTATCTGGGAAATTTCCCAAATACCTGCAGATATTTGAGGGAGGTAAATTTTTAAGATTTTGGAAATTTCTCAAATGACTGGAAGTTTTCAAGATACCCAGGCATTTGGGGAATTTCCTAAATGCCCGGGTATCTGGGAAATTTCCCAAATGCCTGGGTAGCTGGGAAATTTCCCAAATGCCTGGGTATCTGGGAAATTTCCCAAATACCTGGGTATCTGGGGAATTTCCCAAATGCCTGGGTATCTGGGAAATTTCCCAAATGCCTGGGTATCTGGGAAATTTCCCAAATGCCTGGGTATCTGGGGAATTTCCCAAATGCCTGGGTATCTGGGAAATTTCCCAAATGCCTGGGTATCTGGGAAATTTCCCAAATGCCTAGGATTTTGGGAAATTTCCTATTTAAAAAAAAAATGTAAATGCTGTCGTGTCATGATCTCCTTTCACAGGGTGATCTACGTAGGCCTAAGTTGACCCGGCACGACATGCTACGTTTTTACGATAGGTTTTTAAAGTGCCATCTCACGGCCACTTGTTGAACATAATACGCATTCGGGCGTTAAGTTTTACAACTTTCAAAGAAATACTCCAATTTTAAACATGAAGCAAACCATTTATGAATTCAGTCTGTTTTTGAAGATTTTGTGTTTCGCATCTAAAGGATCCTGAAATATCCCTGAATACAGATGTTTGCTGGTTGGTCGTGTACAGTATTTGTACACAATATAACATACTATGGAAAATATCGCATATTTTAGCTGATAATCGATCTCTGTAACTCTCTTATCTCTGACCTACGGTAAATTCTTTAAACTCCTACAGGAAGCCGTCGTGGAAATAAAGAAAGGTTAAACATATACCTTAAAAATGCCTTAACAAGAAGGAACCCGAATTTTTATCTAGACTCAGTTTTATGCAAAACTTGCTTTCGAACTCAGCTTTGCCTGAAATCCAACTTTTTTCAATCAGGATCGATCCACTGATTTTTGAATTTTTGATCGTTCCCCTAGTCCTATTGCCCAATTAAAATTTTAGGCAAATTGGTCGAGTTATAATAAGACAAACAAATAACAAATAGACAAACAAACAGAGATCACTACATAATATCTCTACGATATTATAGACGATATTACGTTCCTAATTTCATGAATATACTAAATAGGACGAGAGGTTCATGAGTTATGATCGAATATACAAGAAAAAAAATGACAAACACTTCTTTATATATATATATAGATAGAATATCCCTAAGGAGAGTGTGGATGAAATTTATTTCATGAATATTATTTTTAAATCACATAAAAGTATCAGGACTAAGGAAGAGGAAAAAGTGTTAATTAACCTCTCCTGCTCCTCTTAAAAACATAATAATTATAATTTAATTGATCTTAAAGGATTTGAGAACTTAGATCTATAATTTTAGTTTGTGTTGGCAGGGTTGGCAAAGTAGAATCAGGAGAGCTTCAAACACACTCAAATACACACTAGACATACTAGACAATATATACTTACAGACAATAAATACACACTAGACATACTAGACAATATATACTTATAGACATTATATACACACTAGACATACAAGAGAATATATACTAGACATTATATACACATTAGACATACTAGACAATATATACTAGACATTATATACACACTAGACATACTAGACAATATATACTAGACATTATATACACACTAGAAATACTAGACATTAAATACACACTAGACATACAAGACAATAAATACCAGACTGCTCAGTAGGTTTAATTTGGTTTTATTTGGTTTTATTGGGTTTTATTGGGTTTTATTTGGTTTTATTGGGTTTTATTAGGCTTTATTGGGCTTTTTTGGGTTTTTCAATCTAAAAGTACTTAAAACCTTATAAAATTCATACTAATTTATAATAATAAGACACTTTAAGCAAAAGGAAGATTTTTTTGTTGTGCAAAAAAAAAATTGTGATAATAGGCTATAATCATATATAAATACTCTTCAAATACAATAATATCACCTACCTTATTCATAGAGGGAATTCTGCAATTTTTTAAGTTTTATAATTCTTTAAATTTTAGACTAAGTCTATTTTCTCACTGGGAAACATATTTCTGATTGGGGTGGGGCTACTCAGATTAATCGGTAGATATTCATATGCTCAAGAAGGAAGACCACTGTTAAATGGTTCAGCTCTGATGTAGTTCTGTGCATCTTCTCGGGGTTTTCAATATCTTTGATATCTTTGAAAAAACAAGCACTGCAGATGATCGATTGATACAAAAGTTTTCTACAATTAGTTTTGTCTGGTCTAAATCCAGAAACCGTCTTGAAGTCCAGAGTGACAAGGAATTGACTGATTTGATTCATTCAATATTTTTTTTTTAAATAACTCAATATTCGAACAATTTGTTAATAATAAAAAATTAAAAATTTGTTTAAGTCTTAGGAAATGAATAAATGTGTCAGTTTTAGTGTTGTGAAATCCTAAAAATCAATATAGTTGATAGTAGACCTTATTTTTTAAAGACTTCATGATTATAAGAGTGAAGAAAAGGCAATAATTAGAATAATTCATAAAAAAAAACAATAAAACCCAAAAACGCCCTCTGACAGGTGGGTTTTTAAAGTGGGTTTTATTTGTTTTTTTGGGTGGTTTTTTTTGGGGCTGGTTTTTTTATGCCAACCATTCACACGATAATCAAGCAATCAGAGACAACCCTTTAGAAATATTTTTTTTTTTGGCGTCATTTGATAATCTGGCATCATGATGTATGTACAATGTACATTGTTTATATTCTAGGACGCCTAAACACCTGGAGCACAAGCTGACCCTTGAGCTGGAGTTTAGAAGCTTGTTATCCACCTGTACACTACTCTACTCCCACCAGGATGAGGACGGATTAGGAGATTTTCTCTCTCTAACCCTCATTCAAGGATTTGTTGAGCTTCGGTATAATCTCGGAGACGGGTTCGTGGCGATTAAATCGTTTGAACCTGTTCAACTAGGAACCTGGAACAGGATTGTTGTTAAGAGGTTAGTTTATGGCGTCCTAATCTTTCCGGTGTTATATTCTAACTTTAAGCAATCTTGGACCTTGGTTTGTTTTTCAATCCGTTCTGCAACGGTTCGCCAAATTAACGTAATGTGGATAGACCAAACTAGAAACTAATATCTGAAAGGGACTGAAAAAGTAGTTTCAAGTGAACTTCCATGCATAGAAAAGCTGGAATTTACGATAACTTTACACAGTACAATGTCCACTTAAAACAGCTGACCTTACCGGCATACATATATTTCACTAAAAAAGGTCTAACAGGGTTTTTTAAAATTTTAATCAAAGTATTTTTTTCTGTAACTTCTATAAGGTAAATATTAATAATGGAATATAAAGCATCAACGATCTAAAGTTTGAAAAAACATCTTATGGTTTAGGCCGGGTTAATTAATTTATAACAACGATTTTTTCTAATTATTCCTTATTATTATTAAAAGCTATTGTTCTAGACAAAAATATTCAGTTTTTTTATCAACGTTTTTAAAAGATACTTCAAAATCCTAAAATTTAAAATGTCCAAACTTTGCATATCAGAATATGTATTTTTATTGACATCTTTACTTTAGAATTTTTTTCCTATTTATTGGTCCTGTCCGATTGCAAATTTCGTGACATTTTCTCAATATTTTGTATTTTAATTTAAAAGGGTTTCAACAAAAGTGATGCATTTATGGAAACATTTCCAGTGTTCGTTGATCATCAAATATCAATATCCTTTGCATTGAATACATCGTAAAATTCTATTCCAGGTCTTACTCCTCTGAATTCTAATAAACGATCCCCTCTATTAATTCCCTCTAAATCCCATAAACATTGCAACTATACAATTTAATTATAATTTAAATCCCATACCCCAGGGTAAACTTGGGGTCCTGGTTATTAAGTCAGTGAGTCTTAACTTTGGAAACCATTTTAGCATAGTAAATGAAATTTTTTTTTCCTTTTTTGTTGAAACCCCATTTATCATTTAATTATTCTTATTCCCAATTCCATAATTCATTTAAAGCCCATTCCCACTCCCATAACAATTCACTTCCCATCTTTAATTTCTAATATGATTAAAGTTCCATATTCAATTTCATAAAACATTAAATTCCCACCTACCCCCAACTCATAGATGATTGAATGCCCTTCCCCAATCCCGTATTTCATTAATATCTCACTTTCCAATCCCACTTCCTCATTCCATTTAATTCCCATCCCCACTCAAATCCATTAACACAATTCCACCATATTCAATCTAGCTCATTTTCTACCAAAATTAACTTTATATTTTATACTCAAGTATTTGATACATTATCCATTAACATAATTTCACCATATTCAATCTGGCTCATTTTCTACCAAACCTCACTTTATACTTTATACTCAAGTATTTGATTCATTATCCATTAACATAATTCCACCATATTCAATCTAGTTAATTTTCTACCAAACCTCACTTTATATTTTATACTCAAGTATTTGATTCATTATCCATTAACATAATTCCACCATATTCAATCTAGCTCATTTTCTACCAAACCTCACTTTATATTTTATACTCAAGTATTTGATACATTATCCATTATATTCAATCTAGCTCATTTTCTACCAAAATTCACTAAAATAAGCTCAATTCAGTTCTCTATATTTAGAAATTAAAAATGCCAAAACCTGGTATTACATTTTTTCCATGCTGACATATTTAAAATGTAAACAAAGATTGAATCAATGACAACATAAAATATAAAAATATTATTTTAAAGTGAAATCATGCAAGAAATGATAATTTTTGTTGGAAAGAAATTTTAATTTTTGTTCTAATTTGTAATCAAGCTTTTTATTCGCATTTTCTAATTATACGCTGTCGTTCCTTCCCCTCATTCTTCTTTTTTTATTACAAAAAAAATACTCTTAACCCTACATATATCTATTTTTCTAATATATGTTGGGGGTGGGGGTTAGATTGTAAAGAATGCAATATTAACATTTAAACCATGTTTTACTTACATTTTTCAAGTGATTTTGAAAAATGTAAAATTCAGATTAGTAGTTTGAATAACTAAAAAGAATATGGACTATTTTTGATCAAAAAAATAAGCAAACTTGTGACTGTCTTGATAGCAAAATTTGTTCTAAATTTTAAAGGTTTAAATTTAAAAAAGTTTGAGCGTTCTAGTGCACACCATTTTTAAATTAGAAAATCAATCCGGAAAATATTTGGCGGATTTTACTGGATAATTTCCCAGATTTATAAAAATTTAATAATTCTGCATTCCGACCAGACAACAACTCTCCCTGTAAATATGGGTTCCTGTGATTTTCCACGGTTTGTCTTTAATGTTTTAGCCGCGTATTTTTATTTGAATCGAGTTTTAACTTGCTTGGTAAAGGCATGTCAATTTTTTAATTAGAGATACTCTCACAACGTATTTTTTAGATAATAATTGTTCTCCCTAGAGCGAAATAAATTTAAGATGAATATGAGTAAGTGTTGGTAAAATTAAATAAATTATGTAAATTGGGTATTTATAAAAATAAACGTGTCTAGAATATTTTATAACATTCTCTAATTAATCATCCTTTAACACAAGTCAAAATAAAGGAAATTCAAAAATAGAAGCTACGAGAAAGTAGAAAATTATAGAAGTATCAAGGAGAAAAAAAATAAGAATACAGACATTTAAAAATTGCAAACAAAAATTTAGAAAGAAAGGAAATACAGTTCCTACAATTTGCACATTTTCTAAATTAGTGTAACTTTTGTTAATGCATACTTGATAACTTGATAAATAACTGAATTTCGTAATAATAAATTTTTTGTTTGTTTTTTGAATTAAGGTTTTTCCACAAAACTAAAATTTCCTAATACGTACGTCGTACATCTTTGCAACCTTTGATATCTGAAACTTAGATTACTTGATCCAACAGAATCAAAAGTTTGAAATATCTAAGCTCTACGACATTGGGTTTCAAAAATATAGGAACTTGACAATATATTGAGTTAGTGCCCTAATGCTTTCCAAAAATGAATAACATGGTATAAATAAGTATCTCAATTTACCATAAGGAAAGGAGACCATATTTGAAATTAATAATATGACGACTAAAGGTGGCATCAGGATGGAGTCCTTGAATTGAATTCTCAGCCTGCAGTCCGCGGACGATCTGACGGATTCCTGAAATCTCTTGATCTCTCCTCATCTTTATACATTGGAGCTTTTCCGAACCCAAACTCTCAAGTTCTCTATAATACAGGTATTGTTTTTAAAGACTCTGTACACGAAATGTTAAGTATTTATTGTTAAAAGCATTGCAACAAGTTTTAGGTAGGGTTTAGTCCCCAAACTGTTATTGTATGTTATTATAAGGCCCCTACCGCCAACTTCCCCTCTTCCGGGGGACGTATGAGAATTTTGGGGCAGAGAGAAACAATTTTTTTTTTCGCTAAATTGGGGAAAATCAATAATTTTTAAGGGACAATTAACGGTTCAAAAACCATTGAAAATTTACACCCCTGTAAATTAGAAGATAAATAAATGAGGTATCGAATATTCTAGGTGGGTATTGAATATGCAATATCAATATAACCACAAGCTCCCGTGCTCATTGGAAATTATCTGGTTATTGGAGTCTCATATAGGGATCTTTTTCAGATGATTTTATATCTGGAATATATATTATAACAGCTTCGAAATGCAATAAGTAAAAAATAGCTAACGTTTTTAGCTTTGCCCATTCAATTCAGAATTCAAAAAAAAATTCGAGTTATGAACATAAAGTTTCGAATCTTGAATGAAAAAAATCGATTTTTTTAACCTTCGTTACCCCCGGCCCCAGGGTACCCATGGGTTTCCTAAAAAATGTCGGCCAATTTGTTCCAGCCGTTTGTCCAGATATAGCTGACATATTTTTAATTTTGATTTTGAGAGAATCATAAAAATACTTATGATTTACTGGGTTTGGGTTTTAAAAACAGAGATTTTAGAAAACTTTAAAAACTACGTTGTAAAATGTTCGTTAGCAGAGCTGTGTTAAAAACTACGTTGTAAAAAGTTCATTAGCATAGCCGTGTTCAAAACTACTTTGTAAAAAGTTATTTAGCATAGCCGTGTTCAAAACTACGTTGCAAAAAGTTCGTTAGCAGAGCCGTGTTCAAAACACAAATGGCTGATCTACAAAGAAGGAGAATCCACTCTTGAGACGAATGGAGTGATTCTTGATTTTCTAAAAAAACTAAACAATTTAGTAGAATAATTGATTTTTGCGTTTTTAGAATAAAGCCAACAAACTCTTGACTTTTAAGAGGAAAAGGCTTGGGAGGATTAAAAAAATCAGATAAGCATTTGGGAAAAATTTAAATCAAGTATATTTCATCCATCTTCTAGAGGGCTTTAAAGCGTGAACATTTTTGGACTGTACGTAACTATTGAACTATTTGTGGCTTTTTTAGATTTATTTTCACCTTTCAACAGACTATATAGATCCTATACTAGGATACAATGCATTTAAGAATATTTAAGAATATCTATGTCGGACGAAAAGCCCGGAAAAATGAGAACAGAATAATCTGATATTTCTTGTGACATCTGAGAGCTGATAAACTGTATATTTTGGAAGATTTATTGCACTTTTTAGGGTTTAACAGGAATCCTAGTCTTGTTTATCCATCAGTTGACAGTAACAGTTCTGTGACTTAAATAATCGGGACAAAAGAATTGTCTTTTCATTGAGTTTATATTTTCTTTATGTATATGATACAGTGAAAACCAGAAAAATTTAAGTTTTCATCTTCTTTTTTTAATTGTAAGATCTTGTTAAGGATTTTTCAATTTAAAAGTGATTTTTTAAAAAGTGCCCTCAGCTTGAAACTTTTAATAGCTTGATATCGATATCCACAGCGAACACTTTAGAATTTTACGGAGAATCTGCTTGATCTTACTTTCTTCATGTTCAACGCAAAATTCGCTTAAGCTTCTGATTGGCTGGGACATTAATTACAGTTAAAATCAAGATCAAATCGAGATCAAATATTGATTTAGATATCCTCAATACAAGAGTTTCCAATTCTAAATATTTATTTGACAGAGACATAGATTAATAATAATACAGATAGAACACTAGATGTCGTCTTTTCAAGATTTAGGGGTTTTCTCGCATACCCTGTCTTTTGATTAAACGCTGCCTGCGCGGAACTGTGCTTTTGCCTCAGGGTTATTTTGTACGAAAAACAAAACCTTAAAATCTTGAAAAAACGACATTTAGTGTTCTATCTGTATTTTTATTAATCTATATGGGTAGAGACATTAAAATTTTCAATTCCTTAGCGATATTTCCTTAATAAAACATGAAAAACAAAGAAAACGCTCATTCAACAGAGCTGAAAACTTAACCCTTGACAGTGATTAATATATCTAAATATTCACTAAATATATGGACACTTTTGAATTCTGCTTAATCCGATCTTTTTCCCTCTTTTTGGATATACCTAGCGGAGACCGACCAATATGAGAGATCTCTAATTAAATGGCACCCAAAATTTCAAATTTCCCGGCTTCTGATTTACCGCTAGGTTTATACAATCGACATTCAGAGGCCGGACTTAAAGAATTTAGGCCGCGGCTTAAATTTAAGCCGGACTCAAATATGGTTGGTTCCACTTAAAGTTGTATTGATTTTTTCAAGATTTCAGCTGGCTCTCATTAGAAACCGGTTTTGGGGGATTTGAGACACTGATTGATTGCATTTAGGATACTTTTCTGGATACACACTTAAGATTAACAAAAAGAGAAGATCAAGCATTACTCTCTAAATCGACAACTGTAAAGTTTTCAGCTATATTTTCTCTTTCTTACTTTGTATTTACTTGCAAAATAAATAGATATTCTAAAAGTTTTAGTATTTAATCCTGAATTCAGTACTTGCTCGGACAAAGAATGTAGTTCTGTTTTCTGCAATGACAAGGTACAATTATAGAAAAACAAATTGATGAATTAAGTAAAACTTTCCTCGCAATATAATTTGCCGTTAAAACAATGATTTCAAGCATAAAGCCTCTTTGCAAAGCTGGCCACGCCCGATTGACAAAGATACCCTTGAAACCTTTATCTGATTAATAATGCGGAAGATATTGTCGTTTTTCTAGAGAAACCAGAATTACGCTTTTTACCACCTTTTGGCCAACCAAGTTTTTTAACTGTCCCTGAGGAAAAGTGAGAAAGTATCATCCCGCTCTAAGAAGTTTATGTGAAAAAAGTAAAAAAAAATTATTTTTAAATTTTTCTTTTATATTAAATGCATATTTTTCTAAATTTGTTTGAAGAATTTAAAACCTAAGATTCATGCATTATATTTTGCAGATTATGAAACATTATTTAAGATCAAAATGTCTTTGATGTGTTCAATCCAAATGCATAAATTCACAAAATTTCAGAAGAAAAAACCTTCAAAGATATAAGAGCTTTCCAAAGCTAATTTGAAAATAAAATTTGAAATGTTTATATAGGTTTCCTCTAATGGAAAATTATCCCTAAGCATATTTAATTCATCCTATCTTGATTCCATTTCAATAATTTGAATTTATTCAAATCAATTTCTGAATTCCAGTTTAAATCTACATAATGAAATATAGGATTTGTCGCCATAAAATTAAAGATTTCTTAAAATCGTGTTTTAAGTGTCTTAGAGAAACTTAATAATTTCTTTTCTAAATATGATTTAAAGTAATTTCGAATCTAATTTGAAGTTTTTAAAATTTTACATTTGCCGGGTCAGAATTATTTCTTGATAACAGAGCCGTGTTCAAAACTACGTTGCAAAAAGTTCGTTAGCAGAGCCGTGTTCAAAACTACTTTGTAAAAAGTTATTTAGCATAGCCGTGTTCAAAACTACGTTGCAAAAAGTTCGTNCTGATATGATATAATAGTATTATTCACACAATTTTATTGTAGTTTTCAATGCAGTAAGAAGGTTTTCTTTAGACCCTGGGGAACTCCTATATCTTTCCTAGGATTTAATATAGAATAATTTATAGAAAATTTCAGGGCAATATCATCTTAACACATTGGCTGTAGCCTAGCATTTTAACCCTTGATATGCTGGGTTGGTGGTGGATGGGGGGGATGTGTTTTAAATGTTTCTATTTATGAAGAAAAAAATATGATACAGTGAGAACCAGAAAACTGTGGAATAGGAGAACGATATTTAAGTAATATATAATTGTGTATTTAATGTTGTATAACACAGCGCAAAGATTTACTAGTGACTAGTGTAAACTTGAATCTAAATGTTGTCTCTCTGAATCTCATTGTATTACAAGTGGCCGAATATAAAGAATTTGAGCGGCGGTTTAAATTTAAGTTGCGGTTTAAATATGGTTGGTTCCTCTTAAAATTGTATCAAATGTTTCAAGATTTTAGCCGGCGTTGAATTTAAACCGGATTTTGGCGGATTTAAACCGCCGCTCAAATTCTTTAAATTCGGCCATAGGTTATTTAACTTTTGAATGGTTTTGACTTTTTAAAAGATTTCTTTAAAATATGGAATGGTTAAATTAAATCAAACTGCATATAGTTATACTGTGCTTCTGTAGTATGCACCGATACCAATCTTATCTAAGAATATAGATATAGGAAAAAAATAAACTCTCATTGCCTTTCGATTTTTTTGGTGACGAAAAACACGAACCTTAAATTACTGTCTATCACGATATGCATGAATGCATTAAATAATTAAATAAATGTGTCTCTAGGGTCGTTGTGAGGAGGAGAATGAAGGCCCTGTCTGCCATTGCAAGGTATGAGAAATGTAATTATCTACTTATCAGCATGTATAGGTAGCTAAACTATACATTTAAAACTCTTTACTAATAAATGACAGAAGGAGATGTTGGCCTAACCAAGTTTGACAGAACCGTTAAATCCAAGTGGTACGTTCCGGTACCGGTGTCCTTCATGGAGAACCTACCCTGCATGGAGAGCCTATAACCTACCCCCAATGTGTTTTAGCCATTTTAATGGAATAATTAGAAGCCATTTCAAAACATTTAAGATAATTAGTTAGTTAATTAATGAGGCAAAATTGATGCCGAATTTTTTTATTTTTAATTATTTTTAACATCTTTTTCCATGTTCTTATATTCTATTTTCAAAAATATAGAATTTAAGATTTTTAGATCCATTTAAAAAAAAGTTTTTAAGAAAAAATATGAAATAAAAGTAAAGGATAAAGTCATTTTGAGCATTTTATTCAGAAGTGATAAGAGGGTTCATTTTATCTTAATATAAATTCGCTAAAACTGGGAACACAACAAAAAATATTTTCTAAAAAACTTGAACCTTCTTGATAATGAAATAAACGTTTTTCCAAAACCGTCATAGAACTGGAAACCAAAATAATAATGTTATAAATTGTTAAATGTTTTTATTTAATAAGGTTAATAATTGTATGTACTTTTACATCTTGATATCTCGTGCTACCTGAATTTGAATAAAAAATGTGCTAAATTGTCATGAAATCTACTAGTTTTCCAATAAAGTTGAATTTGAATAGTCGACTCCAAAACAGTTTTTTTATATTTTATGCATAATGGTGTAAACCTTTGTAACAAAATTAGATTCTATGATTTAATAGAATGCATAGTTTTAAGGATACAATTGGGTTTGAAAATAAATATATATGGAAATTAAAAAACTAGAGTGTGTGGTAAAAACTTAGATTCTTTATTGAACTAACGGGTCAAAGTTTAGATTTGAAGGTAAAGTATCTGCAAAATGGAGGGATCAGTCTGTAAACGACCAATATGTAGAATTCGAAAGAAAATTGATCAGATTATCCAATCATCATAAATTTAGTTTAATTTTATATTTCACAATTCTCTGCATCAATCATCAAAACTAGGGTAGAGGGGGGGGGGGGGGCATGGAGGATATAATGCACAGTTTGTTAAATAAAAGAAATCATATTTTTTAGAAAAGAATGGAATTGAGTGTTTGCCACTAACGCTGATTTTTTAATCCCCATATCCTTGCAACTTAATGTCATAGACCTTAGATATTTCAAACTATGATTTCTGTTAGACTAAAAAATAAAAGTTTGAAATATCAAACGTTTACACCAGCAGGTTGCAAGGATGTCGGGATTATAAAATTAGAGTTACATTTACAATTCTTTTAACATATTATTGGTCAAATTTAAGAATAAGAAGTTAGTTTTGAACCAGCAATCAAAACTAGATACCGGAGAGGAATTGTGGAAACCGGCGAGTGATTGCGGAAACCGGAGAGGGATTGTGGAACATGAAGGAGTATGGAATAAATAGAGCATGCAACTCTTTGATTTGCGAATCACTAGAAATTACGTTGATTATAGTATTGTATTAATTGTTTTGTTCTAGGACGGATACTCCGGGACTAGATGTGAACTTGAACCTGGATATGGTGAATATCTAGGAGAAGAATGTAACCAATACGAGGACTGTAAACCCTGCTCAGGAGATTGTAGAGTTCCAGACTTTACTGGAGATTCATTCCTAGTCCTTCCATTGCAGGTTAGATTTATTTCTAGTCCTTCTTTTGCAGGTCAGATTTATTCCTAGTCCTTCCATTAAAGGTCAGATTTATTCCTAGTCCTAAGACATCATTGGTGTACATCTTTTGATGTGGATCTCTTGCTAGGATTGGGCAAGCAAACTATTAAACACCCCTACCCCCTACCCGTCCTCCCCCCTTTTCATTTAAAATGTTCATCAACTTTAAACACGAAAGGTTATTGATTTTAACCGCAATTGAATTTTTCAAATAATAAAAAAGTTGATTTAGTTCTTTAAAAGCTATTAAAATTAGTTTTTTGTTCAAGTAGTTTGAATATTTTAAGTTAAATTAGAGACTGAGTCGATCTAGGATTTATTTATAATTAGAAAACTTTTTAATTAGTAATTAGACTAGGAAACTTGCAGAAATCTAAATTTCTAAAAAAATACTTTTAAAGATTAATACTAATGGTTTAAACATCCTTGACTAGTAGCGCTTAATTGTAAAGCTAGTAAAAAGAAGTGGTATTCAGGGATGTATATTAATTCTGATACTCATATTTTAGCACTTTTTAGAATCATATTTTTCTCTCAAATTCACAACTGAAGTCCGAAAATACTTTGAAGAAGAATATTTTTGGATTTTAGTAGTATAATGGTACGTGTTGGTGCCCTAAAAAGGATAACTTCAAGGTCCCCTAAGAGTTTTTAAAAGCATTTCTTTTAGTGTTTTTTGTTTTTTGTAAAATTTTGTTTTTTTGAAGATGCAAATATTTTCTTCTTCCTCTATCCCTTTTTCCCTTCTCCCTTTCCCCTTTTCCCATCCCTCTTCTCCCTTTACACTTCCCTCTTTCCCCTTTAGACTTCCCTCTTTCCCCTTTTCCCATTCCCTTCTTCCTTTTTCCCCTTTCTCTTCATTATTTCCCCAAAACCCAATGAAAGCTCGTATTTTTGCCCCGGGCAAACAGAGAAATATACACATTTGGACTGGTATCATAATTTTTCTGTAAATTAGTTGGGTTCAAGTTCGTATTTATTTAGTTGGGTTAAAGTTCGTATTTATTTAGTTGGGATCAAGTTAGTATTTATTTAGTTGGGTTCAAGTTCGTATTTATTTAGTTGGGTTCAAGTTCGTATTTATTTAGTTGGGATCAAGTTAGTATTTATTTAGTTGGGTTCAAGTTCGTATTTATTTAGTTGGGTCTAAGTTTTTATTTATTTAGTTGGGTTTAAGTTTGTATTTATTTAGTTGGGTTCAAGCTCGTATTTATGTAGTTGGGTTCAAGTTCGTATTTATTTAGTCGGGTTCAAGTTCGTATTTATGTAGTTGGGTTCAAGTTCGTATTTATTTAGTTGAGTTCAAGTTTGTATTTAAAATGAACGTTGGGTTCAAGTTCGTATTCAAAATGAACGTCTACATTATATATATTGTATTTCATTGCAAATGGAATACAAAGTGACTCAAAAATAGACACTCTAATTTTCTGATTCATTTATCATTGCATCCGGATTTTGTAGAACCTTTATATTTTAATCTTAGATTTCTGTTAGATCAAGAAGCAACCATTAGGTTGCAAAGATATGATTAAATAATTTAATTTTGTGGAAGGGGTTCAGTTTTTGACCGACAAAAATTAAAAATCAACGTTTAATATAAAATTTACCAGATTTTTTTTTAGCTTTTTATCATTTTTTCTATAAAATATAGTATTTACGCGTACACACCCTTTAACTCATTAAATCGGTGCAATGTTATTGTTTGTGGTTGACTTCAATGTTTACTTTAAGTTAATGAGATGCCTTTCATAAATACTATTCTAATAATCTTATTTCAGGAAGAGGATTAAAATAGCGCATATAGGTCTCATTGNTAAAAAAAAATCGTGGATTTTCAAAATTTTAAAAAATTTAATGAAGATCGAATTTTGATGGAGACAAATATTTAAAATTTTGATCATTCATAATTACGATGTACACAAAGAGAAAATGTTCACAATTAATTTAGAAGATGGGCGCGAAGCGCCCTCTAAGGCTAGTTTATGTATATTAGAATATATATTCTTTTGGTCTAATTGACATATATTAGAAAATATAAATATATACTGTTAGTCTAATTTATGTATATTAGAACATATATATTCTGTTGGTATAATTGATATAAATTAGAAGACATAAATATTACTGTTACTCTAATTTATATTTATTAGAATATATATTCTTTTGGTCTAATTGATATATATTAGAATATATAAAGAAATACTGTTAGTCTAATTTATGTATATTAGAATATATATTCTGTTGGTTTGATTGTTATAAATTTGAATATACAAATATATACTGTTAGTCTAATTTATGTATATTAGAATATATATTCTGTTGGTCTGATTGCTATATATTAGAATATATATTCTGTTGGTCTAATTGTATACCAGAATATATAAATATATACTGTTGGTCTAATTGTATACCAGAATATATAAATATGTACTGTTGGTCTGAACAATGCAGTACGATCCATTGAAATGATTTTTATCTGATTTGTTTACATTTCTAGCTTGTAGACCTAATTAGAACGTGCTACGTTTGTACTCCATAATTAGGCATTTGATCATTTGCCATTTGATATTTTGATATTTTTGCCTCGGACATACAAACAAACAAACAGAGATTACTACTTTCTATATGTAAATAAACTGTTGGTCTAATTGATGTACCAGAATATCTAAATATGTACTGATGGTCTAATTGATATACCAGAATATTTAAATATATACTGTTGGTCTAATTTGATATACCAGAATATATAAATATATACTGTTGGTCTAATTGATATACCAGAATATATAAAATTAAAGCTAACCCTTGAAGTTTGGTTTCCGACAGTTTAATTAGTTTAGAATTAGTATAAACAGGACCAGAAGTCTGCACGAACAAGTTTGACAATACATTTTTAATTAATTTTTTTTAATCTTCTCTTTTCGTAAATCACGAGCACATTTAATGCATGAAAGGGACTGATGACGTAACTTAAAGTTACCCTTCATTAAAGGGACTGTAAAGGAAAAATGAAAGGGGGTGTAGGCTGAAACCTGAGAATCTCAGGAGTTGAACGATACATATAAGACATCTATCTGATGTTCTTGTCTCGAGAAATGACAAAAAACTGTGTCAAAATTATACCAAAACTTTAAAGGGGCTGTAATCGTAATTTCAATTGACCCTCCATGCTACAAAAAAAATGCATAAGAAATATTGTTTGCGAAACCTACAGAGCTCATACTGGGGATATTTTTTAAATATTAGAAATTTTTTAAGTTCCTGATCTTTTCAAATTTAATTCACTTTTTTCATGTATAATTATGATAGAGGAAATATTACACTTTCCTTTGAACTGTTTTTTTACTATTTCAGTCGAGAAACCCGTTCTAAACAGTATATTCTAAATGTACCATTGAAAAATAAGTTGCATTATTTTCCTAGTTATACGCTTTCAAAAATATGGGATAACCTTAGTCTTACTCTTAAGAGAATCTCAACTTTCAATACTTTTCAGAAATATCTTAAAAAAGCTATCTTAGATTCATTTAAATGAAGTTTTTTAAAAATTCTCCTAGATATACTCTCTTCAATCTTTCATTTTACAAGATGGGTGTTGTTCTTAAGCCCCTGGTCTTTGATCCTCTTCAACTCCTGATCTGGGTTTCCCCTTACTTGTTGTATGATCTCACGCCGTCATGTTTTCTTTAAGGATCTGGATCTGGCATTCAAACAGCTATGCTAGCTTTATCCTTTTGCTATTCTAAATATAAGAAAATATAATTCAGTTAAAACATTGTAACTATATATATATATATATATGTTTTTCATTTTCTGACAATTTTTAAATTCAACTTATATTTAGCAATTTAAGCAATTATTGTTATTCTGCAAAGATGTGCAATGCCCGATTCACAACGATACGCTTTAAACCTGAATCTGACCAAAGATGTGAAGATAACGTCGTTTTTCTGATTCAAAAAGTGTTTATTTCTGCGAGTGTCTCCATTCACTTAGTTTCAGTAGAAGTAAATATTTCCTTTTAATGTTTAATGTTCCGATATAAGGATTCATCTCTAATTGGATAATGAGAAAGATTGAAAGATAGATGATACCGCCATGCAATTTCTATTGGTTCAGAATAGACACCAAACACCTGACTGAACCCTGATTGGATCAGGCGCTAATGGAATCGCATACAAGTGTGCATTGCTTCTTATAAACAAGAAAATAAACCGCAAATAAAAAACAGTTTGAAAAAAAACGGAGTTCTAGTGCAGACTTTTTTACCTAAAATCTAATAATTGGCAATTAAAGGCCCATCAATGAAAGTGGCGTGCATAGTATATTAACATGTATATTATTATTCTATTCTAATCTTTACTCAGAAATATTTTGAGAGAGTATCCTTGCAGAATCAGCAATTATGCATTTAACTTTTTTCAATTGAAATTACTTCGAATCACGTTTTTATCAGAATGATATTAAAAGTATATTTCTAGGGAAGTATGGCTCGGGAGTTCACGCTTGAAGTTTGGGTTTTGGTTCGTTCTTTAAACGGATGCATTCTCTACAGTGGGGCCAGCCATACAGGAACATTTCAAGCTTCATAATATAATTTTGTAAAATCTTAAAAACCAAAATTAATTAATTTAGGCTTTTCTTTTCTACAAAGGAATTAAGTTTTTACAAACTCTAATTTTCTTATCCTTATTTTTTTGCAACACAATGTCGTTGATCAAATAATCTAAGGTCAAAATATCAAAGGTTTGCGCCATCAGGTTGCAAATATATGGAGGTTAGAATATTTGAGTTTGTGGCAAAAACTTTATTCATTTACAATACAAGTGTGGACTGTATTTATCCGGAGAAATAAAATAGAACAGTCTCCGGGAAAATTGGTTTATTTGATAAGCCCGTAACTCACTGGATCTTCCATAATATTTTCCAAGATTTGAGTAAAAGTATTAAAAACAGAACAAGAAATTCTTCCTCTTTGTGAGGTAAAAATGAAAAGTTTAAATGTTAAATTGGTTCCCAGGGAATGGAGATTTCTTCTCTCTCAACGTGATGAATGGATTTACTTTATTCTCCTAACTGGTATCATTATTATTATTGTTAATATTTAGGCCGGTTACCTTGAATACCTGGCATAAGGTTAGAATATCTAGGAAGGATTCTCGTGGAGAACTGCAGGTTTGTAAACCATCTATAATAAATATCATCTGGGATCAAAAATTTTGTATTTAAAATCTTTAAATTTAATTATTTTTGCACCATTCGGGATTCTTGGACATTGCACTTTATTCACGCTTTCACGTAAAAGTCGACAATGATTTTGCCATTTCTTTCTTTCAGCTGATGCTAGAAACAATTGCATCAGATTTAAAGTAAACGTGTCTCAGGAGCCAGCCACAAAAAGTATGTGAGATTGTTTTTGAGGTAAAATGAAAGGCAAAGGCGCTGCGATACTTCAAAGTCGACCCAGTCGAGAACATTTTTGAAACTTTTTATAGCAGTCTGCAGGATTAATTGTGGTATGATTCTGGATAAATATAATTTCTAGAAAACAAATATTGCATAACTTGTTATTGGAAACATACTCTTGTTTATGATGTATTTTTGATTATTCCTCAACAGACACCAGCTGGAAAGGTTTAACAGGCCCTAGTCTGTATACTGCACAATATTTCTTCTAACCATAATCATATTTTATATCCATAAAGAAATTAATTTGTTGTCCCAATCTCCCTATATTGTTGGAACCCAATGTCGTAGACCTAAGATATTTCAAACCTTGAAGATTTTATAATCTAAGTTTGAAATTTTAAAGGTTGTAAAGTTATAGGAATTTGAAAATTTGAGTTTGTGGCAAAGACAAAATTTTGATTTAAACATTTAAACAATAAACTTGTTATGAATTATAAATGAGCCTGAGTGAAAAACTTTTCTTCAGCAAGGGTCTATAATTTGCAGAATTACAATTACCCACCCCACTTGCCCCAACCTCGGAGAGACGGGGGGGGATTGACTAGATACAGATGACTAAAGGACAGGAATTTGCTGTAGAAAGAAAAATGTCCAGACTGCAAGGACGAAAGGGTGAAAAGATGAATGTATTTTATCAAGTTTCTCCGTCCTTGGCAAATTATCCTTGTGTTCTGAAGCCGAAACTATTCTTAATCCCATCAGAAACTATTCTTAATCCCATCAGAAACTATTCTTAATCCCATCAGAAACTATTCTTAATCCCATCAGAAATTGCAAATCCGTATTTTTGATAATGGATTAGGAATTATTTCGTTTGGATATCTTTATAAACACATAAGACCGATATCAGAGGACATAAAAAATCTGCTTCTTTGGGTAAATTAAGTATCAGGAAATACAACTGATTTTTACAGATCTGATTCTTGTAAAAGATTGAATAGCGAGAAAACTATCCTGAGATGGAATTTAAAGAATTTGAGCCGCGGTTTAAATCCGCCAAAACCCGGTTTAAATTAAGCGCCGGCTTAAATCTTGAAACATTGGATACAATTTTAAGTGGAACCAACCATATTTAAGCCGCCGCTCAAATTCTTTAAATTCGGCCACAGGTTATGTGTTCATCTATCGTAAAGTGTTTAAATATGTTCTAATATATACTTAAACATTTATATTTAAAAACAGTGACAAAAATTGACAAGCTTCGTTTAGTTTAGTGATCACTCACTAAACTATTAAAAAAAGGTACAATTTTTAAAGAAAACCTATTCCGATGATCTAAAAATGAAACATATGTCAGTAATTTAGAAGAGTAATTTTCTTTTAGTCTAATATATGTATTTTAAGATACAAGAATACGATACAAGAATACAATATAAGAATATGATACGATACAAGAATATGCTACGATATAAGATTATGACATGATACAAGAATACGATACAAGGATATGATATAATACTTTAGCATTATATGACGTTTAACAAACCTAAAATTAATGGAATACAGAGAAGTAATTCTTATTATTATTTGACACTTACACTTACTTTAAATAAAACTATATACTATGGAGAGGACCTAGAAATTGTAAGTGAGAGAAAATTGCTGGGCTTAAGGTATGCCAATCTTGAGCCAAAATATAAGATTAAATTTAAATTGGTTAAACATTGTTCATCTTAAGTCAAATAAAACGAATTACTGTCCTTCAAAGACTTCAAATCTAAACCCAACCCCACCCCTCCCCTTTATCATCCAACATAAAGCTATTCATTTTAACTTTTTTCAAATATTTTTTAATCTTGTGCGTTCTATTTTTAAAAATTTCCTAATTCCAACTAAAAAAGAATTTAAAAGTAAAAATGAAGTAAAAGCTTACGAATTACACCACGTTTCAGTAAGGAATAAAGAATTAACTTTTAGTCACAAACTTAATTTTTATAATTCCTATATCTTTGCAGCTTTATGGTGTACACTTTTAATATATGATACTGAAACTATTTGATTTAACAGAATTCACAGTTTGAAATATCAAAGGCCTGCGACAGGGTTGCAGAGATATAGGAATTACAAAAATTAAGTTTTCTACAAGAAGAACTCAGTTCAATTTGATTTGAAATTTTAAACCAAATTGTGTGTTCAATTTCAAAAAATTTTACACGTGGGTCATTACTGCAATGAAAAGTTGCACACTTCAAACTAACCTGCAGGAGGAGAAGGTCACATTTAATTGACATTACTGTTACGACTTTGTGACTCCGTTTCTCCTCTAGTTCTGATTTTACGCAGCAGTTTAAGAACAATAAATTTACTCGATTATATATTTTAATTTCAAAATATGTTTGTTCTTCTCAAAAGCTCTTTAATAAGTGGATTTGTAATAAAAAACAAGATTAAAATTTTACTTGAATTTTACTTTAGTTTGACGTGTGCATACATTTTATAGATTTGGTTGACTTTAAAGTGTCACTTTGATTTACCTCACTTACTCACACACACTTTGACATGTACATGTTAAACTTTTTCGATTTTTTAAATTTGAATTTGGAAAACTTTAATCATATTCTTGCTTGTTTGTGCTGTAACATTTTAGAAAAGCCGCTCTTAAATAAAAATCATCACTATTTAGCAAAAGCTTTTATGTTTGCAGAGCTGAACACTTTAGAATTGGAGAGATAACTTGATCGTTTATTCTAAATATCCACTTTGGAAACTTTAAATTTTATTGTTAATCCTCTTTTTTGGATATCCCTGCTGGATTTCGACCAAAGACAGTTTTCTTGTTGATTGGGCGCGCAAAATTTTAAAATTTCTCGGCAGTCTGATTGGTTGGTAGGAGTCTCTAATCAACACTCTGATTGGTTGGTAGAGTTTCAATCAACACTCTGATTGGTTGAATTTTATACACTTTCCAGCATACAAATAAAGATAAAATAAATCTTGAGATTAATAAAAAGAGGAGATTAAGTAATTATCTCAATATCCACAATTCTCAAGGTTTCAGCGGAGTTGAGATTACGTTGACAGTCCCTGTAGATATTCACATAATCTATAAATTAAAGTTGAGAAAGTTTTAAGTTTAATTTTATTCCAATCAATGATGAAAAGTTATGTGGAAGGATTCCTCACTCAACTTCTTAAATCGAGAAATTATTCTCCAAAGTTTATGATTGCAATCTACTTTAGAAATCCTTTTATCTCAATTTAAAAATTGCATCTTACATAAGTTATTTAACGAGTTCAAATTTGGATCTGCTCTAAAACAAATGATATTTAAAGAACCAAATATTTTTACTGAAAAAGTATTGCATTTAATTTTTGCAAATTTTCTATTAATGTGTAATCAACATTCTCAATTATTAACGGCCATAGACCTTCCTTAATCTATATAGTCGTCATGAGAGAAATAAACCACAAAATAGACTTTCATTGGATACAAACAAAAGAAATATGAAAGATATACATTTACTTTTTTGTTTAGTTTTTGGTACTTTTTAAAATATTTTTTTTCGGAGAAACCCTCTTTTTAATAATCTCTCTCTTAAAAAAAATCTTAAATTACAGTTGAACTCGGACCCGGCGATATCAGCGAGCTCGCCACCGCCGATGACAGAACTAAATCTTGGCGGTAATCTCTTTGTTGGCGGTTTCAGGTGCTCAAATTAGAACAAAATAGTTAAGAAAAAATTATATTATGAAAAAGTGTATCTTTGATATGTCCCAATGATACCAATCAGTGGGGGAGGGGAATCATGAGGTCTCAACTAATTTTTTATCTATTAAAGTGTTTTTAGATCTATTTAAAATAAAATAAGTATTATTCTACGAAATGTGATCAAAAATAAATTTCAGAGATCTGAGTCAAGTTAATCCTGATTCCGGAGTTCTCCGACCTCTAGACGGTGCTGTTCAACGGATAATCCTGAAGAATGAAGTTCTAACCAACCTGGTCGGGTTGAGTTCGGAGAACCGGCAGCTCCGGGTCTACCACGGAGCACCATGTCAGAGACATAGATGTGAAAACGGCGGATCTTGTGTTCCCCATTTTAGAACTGCTCTGTGCGCCTGCGCGCCAGGGTTTTCGGGGAAACACTGTGATACTGTAGTCTACTAACACATTTATCTTTAAGAAAACCTTGTTAAGTTAAAATCTTCTTCTGTCTAGGTTTACAAGGTTTTAGGTTTCAAGATACACATTGTCAACCTTCACTATCATGAATACTTAACTAGTCCAACACAATCATATCAAAACTCATGGAATATCATATTTTCTGTTTTCACCATTTGTTATCGTTCTATTTATACCACTACATTGACAAACAAGTTGCTACGGTTCCAAAAACCAAGAGAATACAGAACCAATAATATAAATACTAGTGCCTCTAGTTTGGAACCAAGAACTTTGAAACAGAACCATGGATTCCGTATTGTAGAACCTTTAATATAAAGTGTTCCATTTCGGCAAGAACGTGGAACCTTTACCATAGAACCTTTTCTTATAGAATCTTTATTTATCATTAAATAGAATGATGTACTTCATTGTAAGAGTTAGTTTACCGATTCACACAAGTACTCTATAGAATTGAAAATAGAATATAAGATTAAGTTAACGAAGAGCCTAGAACTCCGAAGTTAGAATATAGGAATCCATGCTGCAATAACTTAGATATTAATAGTTTCATAAGTTTAAATATGCTGATAGAATTAGCGAAGTATTAGAATTAAATCTTTTAAAACACCCAACATACAAATTATTTCATTTAGTTGCAGCTTTATTTTAAACATATTATAAAATTTCTCATGTTTTTAAAATTTTCTAATCCAGAAACTTTTGTCAAGGAGTTTAACTTCAGTGGTCGGCATTTATATCAATACAATAAAGACGACTTTTTATTTAAGTTTTTATTTTTTTATTTAAAAAATTACAAGTAATCAAAACTAAGCTTTAATTTAATACCTTGATTATGTGCACATGTACATGCATACGTGCGATTTAAACGCTCGTTTGAAATCACAAGTTGTCTTCATTGTATTGATATATACGATGACGACTGTAACTTACTCCTTGCAGTTGCCTGCGTGAAAAGAATGTGTTTATGTGAAATCCTATCATTCAAAATTTCTGTGCTGAGAAGATGTCTACACGGGTTGTGAAAAGAGTTGATTCTTTGCCGCAAACTCTGATTTTCTAATCCCTATATCTTTAAAACCCAATGTCGTAAATCTTTAATATTTCAAACTTAGATTATTTGATCCAACATAATTCATAGTTTGAAATATCAAAGGTCTACCACATTGGAATCCAAAGATATAGGGATTAGAAAATCAAACTTTGTTACAAAGACTCAATTCCTTTAATAACAACCATATCAAGATTTACATAAATATCTCGGGAATTTAAATGGTAAATTTTTGTATTGCCCCCCTCCTCCCTCCTCTCTAGATAACATCTACCAAGATTGTCATGGGAGTTTTGGGCGAAACTGAAATAATTAACATCATTGCTATTTAAACGGTAATTATATATTCTTTTTAGTTTTTAGTTCACAGTAAATTTTATTAGATCTTTATCAGATGTAGCCTGGAGAATGTTATAGATTCTTTTGTTAAAATTGCAAATAGTTTACAGCAGCGTTTCGGATCCGGATCCGGTCGGATCCGTATCATTTGGTCGGATCCGGATCCGGATCCGTATCAGGAAACGTTGATATGGATCCGGGTAGCGCCACAAATTAACCAAAACCATGGAATAAATAAATCAAAATGGTTCGTAAATGTATTATTTACATGACGAAAATTTTTCAAAATTATCTTTAATAATTTAATGTTTACATTTATATAATAGTAATGACGACATTTTTAACTTTAGGATTACTCAGCGGCAAATGCTCACATGGCGCAAATTTCAAATATATAAAGTATTCATTTTTAAAAGATGAACGTGATCGGAACAAGCTAGGGCTGAATTAGACTATATTAATTATTAAAGTTACCTCGGATCCGGATCCGGATCCGTATCAGAGTCAGGATCCGGATCCATCATCGCGGATCCGCGGATCCGGATCCGCATCAAAATGATACGGATCCGAAACACTGGTTTACAGAACAATAATTGTAATTACAAGGTTTATCTTAGTGATTTTTAAAAAAGATAAAGGAAAGCTGTTTTCCATCCACTTTATTCACTAGTCGATTTCATTTTGTTTTGTTGAAATGTTGGTAAAAAATGGCAATTGAAACTTTATTAATGAAGAATGTAGAAGTTTAATTATTTAAATAATTACCACTGTTAAAGTTTAGATTTGTACCGTAGCGCACACTTTGCACAGCTTGTTGTACACCATAAACCCTGTTGTTTACAATTTTTATATCTCAGGCTGTGAATGTATTTACTTCTGTATAAATAATATTATTTTGTTAAACTTCTTTTCTCTTTCTACAACACACGCTAAATATTAAATTACTCCGACTCCAGATATGATATGCATAAGCATATATGTGCCATATCTTTGTATACAGTTAAAGTGTTCAAGTTGAAAATTAATAAAAGAGAATGAGTTTAACCAGTCGTGGCTGGTTCACCTGACTTCGATCTTCACTTTTCCTGAGGTACAAATAAGGGGATGACCAAAGTTGGAGTTTTTAAGTAACCAATTGAATCTGATTCAAATAAATGGTTCCATATTCTGTTATTAAACACATGAACCTGAGAATTGAATCATTAAAGGCAACATCTTAAATGTATATAAAGTTTCGTTTTAAAGTCGTTTTTGGGTTTCTCTCTATTCAATCTTTAGTCAAAGGTTTACAGTACACGGCTAGTATGCTTTGAGTCTAGGATGAGTAACATAATCTAATATTTTGCCCTACACACCAGAGCCTGCAACTTAAAATAAAGAATCTGTATTGAACTGAGAAACATAAACCCAGTTTTGAGAAAAAGTTTTATATCGAAACCGAGTCTATAGAGTTTAGAGAGCACACAATTTCCTTGTAGAACTTGACCCAAGTTATCTCCAGACCAAAATATGCTGAATATTCCCGGTTTCGCATTTTAAAGTTGCTGGTTCAGCAGGAAAAGAGAAGGAGTTCAATCAGCATTGTACTTTTATTTTCTCATTGTTAAACAATTTGTTGATTTACATAAAAGTGTATAATTGTTAAACAAATTTGTAACCGTTTATAAAATAAATTTTGAAATGTTTTTTTTTTTCTTTCAAACGGCTGAGGGGACTGAGATGAAAAGAACAATCAAAAGATTTTTTTTTATTTTTTGAAGTTTTATGAATACTTTAAATCTTCAACCATGGAAATAAAACTTATTTTAAACGAATGTTACAAGAGTAAAAAATTGGTTAATTTTAAAAAAATTCGTAAGTTATTTAATTTAAAAAATGTATTTTAATGTTAGTATGATATTAAAAACTGCATTACTGTACAAAAAGGCAAATTTCTTTGTAAACGGAAAGAAAAGTTCATGTTCATGAATTAACAAGATATGGCGTAGAAATAATTATAAAAGATCAGATAGATCATTTTCTCGTTCACAATTCATCTTTCAATAGATCGTTTTTCAATTCAATTAATCTTTCAAAAAACCTTTTTTTTTAGCTAATTACACTTCCAATAGAAAATTTTACAATTCAATTCATCTTTCAAGAGATCATTTTTCTAATGAATTTCTTCTTTCAAGAGATCAATTTCTTTTTCAAGATATCATTTACTTCTTTCCAGAGATCAACTTTATAATTTTTTGCATTTTTCAGTAGAACTTTTTCCTGTTCAACTCATCTTTCAAGAGATCATTTTCTAGTTTAATTAATCACTCAAAAGATCATCTTACAGTTCAATTAATCTTTCAATATCTCATTTTTTGTTGAAATTAATCTTTCAATAAATCATTTTTTGCTGAAATTCATCTTTCAATAGATCATTTTTTGTTTAAATTCATCTTTCAATAGATCATTTTTTGTTTAAATTTATCTTTCAATAGATCATTTTTTGTTTAAAATCATCTATTAATAGATAATTTTTTGTTTAAATTCATTTTTCAATAGATAATTTTTTGTTTGAATTCATCGTTCAATAGATCCCAGCTAGATTCATTTTTAATCATTGTTTAATTAAATTAATTTTCCAGCAGATCATTTTTTAATTTAATTTTTCTGTAAACAGATTATTTTACTTCCTTATAACCACAGACATGAACAATGAACATGGTTACAAATCATAAGAGCGCTGCAGGAATCGATGAACTCTTCAGACACCATCTCGAGTATACGGGGGTGCATCTTATTCACATAGTACAGTCCTCCTCAACAATAGTAGGACATCTTACCAGGAACCAGTTTTATCTGTAGGTGGACTGAATGTCATAAACAGTCCTCCTCAACAATAGTAGGACATCTAACCAGGAACCAGTTTTATCTGTAGGTGGACTGAATGTCATAAACAGTCCTCCTCAACAATAGTAGGACATCTAACCAGGAACCAGTTTTATCTGTAGGTGGACTGAATGTCATAAATTAAATCAAAGTTTTAAGACGACTTTCAACTCGTCTTGCTACTGTCATGTTTCGTGGGACACCCTGTAGCTCTAACCAAATGTGTACTGTGTACTGTAAAAGTGCACAACTGAGGCCGTTCCTTCCATAAATTACATTGGTCGACAACTTGACGTCTCTTACATGGTCGTTAAGTGTGCGGAGAAATTATCTATCTATCAGATAAGAATTTAGCATGAGACATCTAGCGGCCAAAATATNGCCGTGAGGCCGTTCCTTCCTTATACTAAATTGGTCGACAACTTGGCGTCTTCTATATTGGTCGTCAAGTGTACTGAGAAATTATCTATCTATCAGATAAGAATTTAGCATGAGACATCTAGCGGCCAAAATATCGTCCCCAAAGTACGTGAACTACACTACCAATATAGATAAATCTGTACTTATTGGACAGGCAACAATAAACAAGTTAACACCTATGAAATGTTTACTGTTTAGACAGCATCTTTGAACATTTAAACACCTTATAAATCTTTGCGTTTTGGACAGGCAACAGTAAACACGTACACGCGGGCTAGCTACTGCAGTAAATGAAGTACAGTTGTAAAATATCTTTACTTATTACGCGGGATACTTTAAAGAAGTACATTTACAAGTACACAAATGTAATAAAATTGTACTGTTACTACACACGTGACACACATGGTAAAACTGTCAGAGAGATGTTTGTGCGAGGATCACTAGGACAAAATGGAATCCAATAATGATATTTATTGTAAAAATGTCGATTGCATTTCTACCACTGGACAGCAACAGGAGGCCAGGGACTGAAACTTGAGATAATACAAACTAGGTTTCTGAATTCTGGAAGCCAGAGGTCCCGTTCATTTAAAAATTGCATGATACGAACCAGTGCAAAGATACCGGTTTAGTCTTTACCGTACCGGCCCGTCTAGTGTACCCAGTATGTGGATGACCCAACGCGTTATACGCAGCAGAACTAGGCAGGTTAAACTATACTGAGGTAGCAACATTGTAAAAAATACAACTTAACTAAGGTGGTAGGTGATTATATCAATATAATGAAGACGACTTTGGATTTCAATTTTGATTTATATCAAGCTTTTAAACAGAATGGATACACAAAACATGGAAACATAGAGGTGCTGTCAATTGAAAAGCTTCTCTATATTCACTTGTAAATTTAGAATTTGAAAAAAAGCTTGTTAACAATTGAAACTTGAATAAAAAAGTCGTCTTCATTGTATGGATATAATTGTCTAGCACCTAGAGTTTATCATTTGTGTATTACAGAAAGAGAAAGCTTATTTTTTCCTGGTCATATGGATTTCAAAAGTCTAAACATGTGATATTATTAATCTACATTCTTTAATATGGAAAATTCAGTAAAAAAGCATATTTATTAGTTTTTACTCCAACCGATTTAGGAAAGACTATTGTTGTAAGCCTTTTAAATATTACCTGGAGACTATTTGATATAACCAACTTTATAGCTGAAATACGGGGTGTTCCACCGTCCCACGAAACTTATAACATTTGGAGAAAAGTGTAAAATGTCTTCTCCCATATTGTTTCAGTTGTTTGATACCAAGGAGATTAATTAAATCTGAGTTTGTGGAAAGAACTCGCTTTCCTCCCTATTCGTACACATTTTATATAAAATGTGTTAAGAAAAAAATTTCTGATTAGAATTCAAAATAACAGTTTATGATCAGAACGGTTTTTAACTATTGATCTGATTATGCCTTCTTTATTTTGCATTTGGGGCTGTTTTATGTTTCGAGGTTTTTCTTTCTCTATATATATATAAAAGACAAGTTGCGAACAAAAGTTCAAGGTCCATAAATAATTTACTTTTGTAATCATAAAGTTGAATGGACTAATCAACAAGTAGAAATCTTTTATCCAAATAGTATTCAGTTCTTGACAGCTGGATTAATATTTCTAAGGGAGTTCTATATTTGCAGTTTAGGATTTGTTTTCTTTAAAATACCGATATTTCTGCACTACAATGAGACCCATACAGCTAAGGAATAGAAAGAAGCCAATTGTCCTGAATACTTTCCATTAAAATAATAACTTATTATTCCTCCTATTCCAGTTTCATGGGGGTCCCACTGTAGATCAAATAAACACTAACGGAGAAAATTTTAATCTATCTATATATAAATTTGGCTTGTCTGTCTTTGTGTTTGTCTGTTTGTTTGTATCCAATAAACGTCAAAACGGCTGAACCGATCGGGCCCAATTTTTTTGTGGGACCTCACGGAGCCCCAGGGAAGGTTTATGAATGATCAAAATTTCAAATATTTGTCTCCATCAAAATTCGATCTTCATTAAATTTTTGAAAATTTTGAAAATCCACGAAATTTGTTGTAAAAATCCGCGCATTATTTTTGTTTTGTTTTACGATGTACACAAAGAGAACATGTTCACAATTAATTTAGAAGAGGCTAGTATCTTTAAATTATATCATTGTTATGTCGTTTTTCATGAATTCATTGTTTATATTGTACAGATTGTAATGCAAAATATAAAATAGAACCTAAAAATAAACAGTTATAACTGGAAAACAATAGAGAAGGCAGACGACATAATTGCAATACTTCTTGCATTTGATGTTTTCACTTAGCAAACAGTTTTAATAGACACCAAAGAAAATAATTAATCTATATATAAATTTGGCTTGTCTGTTTGTCTGTTTGTTTGTATCCAATAAACGTCAAAACGGCTGAACCGATCGGGCCCAAATTTATTGTGGGACATCACGTGACCATAGGGAAGGTTTATGAATGATAAAAAATTTTAAAAAATGTGTTTTAAAGGTTTTAAATTTTGTAAAAAAAATTTAAGTTCTTGAAAATCCGCGAACATGTTCATAATTTAAATGAAAGATGGGCGCGAAGCGCCCTAAAAGCCTAGAAAGAAGGGCGCGAAGCCTTCAAGCTGTGACATCCGTCTTGTGTTTACATTACCGCCCAGAAACAGTACAGTACAAAAGATGATGTACACCTTTGAAAACCTTACATTAAAACCTTGAGTGTTTACACTGCAGAATTGTCTCATATTGAGCTTTTTATAGTAATTTGGGTCTAAAAGTAGTCTTCCTATTTTAGAGATTTATTGTTATCACTATTTTATATTTTCTATGAAGAAATTGAATTTTTGCACAACAAACTAAAATTTTCAAATCCCTATAGCTTGCAACCTGGTGGTGTAAACTTTTATTATTACAAACTTAGATTATTTGATATAGTAGAATTAAAAATAAAAATATGTAAGGTCTACGACACTGTTGCTAAAAACAGGGAGTCGAAAACTAGAGTTTGCGGCAAAAACTCAAATCGGTTGCATTACTCCTTTCATAAAATCGGTTTTCAACATTGGGTTTTATACCAATACTCTTGTTTCGATCTCAAGGATCCCTACATCCAAGCAATAAATAATATACTCTATAAAATGATCTTTATTAAAGCTAAAAAGTTTAATTAAAACCGAGCACAATAGTTTCTACTTCAGAGCTTTCTGTATTTTAATTTCATGAGTTGGATCTCCTTTCAGAGCTTTAACAACCAGTACTCCATCAGCTGCAAGGTTGGAGCTAACATTCTCAGGATGGGTCCCTTCAGGAATAGTGTACTTTCTCTTAAATTGTCGGCGGAGAACTCTTTTCCCGTCCTTACTCGTCTCCTCGTGCAGTCCTTCAACTGTAACAGCTCCGTGCTCTACATGGACATGGAGTTCGTCAGGACGGTAGTGAGAGGTGTCCAGGCTCACCTCAAGCTCAGTATCAGTATCCTTTATTAAAGGTGAAACTATCTCATCAACATATTTAATGTTTCTTTTTTGACAATTCTAAAACAGTTTGAATTACAGTAAAAACATCCGCTTTAAATCTGTAAGGTTTTTTTTACGATTGGATTATTTCGATATTTTGATATCCAAAGTTATATTATCACGAAATTTTCTTTTTTGCTTACAGTACGTTGAATTTATCTACAGAAAAAAAGCAATTATTAAAAGAGTTTAAAGACAGTTGTTTTATATTAGATAAAACTTGTTAAGTGGTTAAAGTTTTTCACCCATCCCTTGATCCTGATCACATCATGATCATGTCCGGACTTGAATATATTCAACTGTTCAAGCTCGTTCTGGTCTAGAGAGGCGAGCATCCATTTACGAGGAAACATCCAGCTCTGATCGTATCTATTTACTCCAGTATTAGAGGGAACTAGACCCCTCTCCGCAGTTCCCTCTATCCCCTCATTCAACAAAATATTATCCCTCATGCATCTCATCTGTCTGAAATCCTACAACCAGATTTTATGAACAGTGTAAGGTACGCTGGTATCCATATAAAATAACAACCTTTAATGTATTGAGTTTCAAAGTAGTCTTATGCACGGGTAGTGTAGAACTTAATCCAAGATATTAATTCAAAAAGCAATAATAGATAGTAAGCATCTGCTGAAAGCTACACTAAAAAATGTATTAAACCAGCTGGGTCCATATAATTTCATCTGATCAATCCCAAATGTACGTTGATTGATTGATATTAGGGGCAGAAATAAACCATGTTGTTATTGTAAACAATTTGGGATCAGAATTGGAATTATATGGCCACCCCTGGTATCGAACGTGATTATGCAATCTTCCTTAATAAAAAACATATGTTGAACAAAGTCAAAATTGGTCGTTAATTGTAAAACTTTGATTAAATATTTTGAAATTGACATTGGAAAAGAATAAACAACAGTTACAACTACGAGTTAAGACTACGCGGGGTTCAAATAATTTTCATAAAATCTGTTCCCTGATCCATCTTCTTCCAGACGTCCCTAGACTCTTTAAACATGGACTTCTTAACCTGGTCGAAGTCCTCCCAATTCTCCCTGAAATGCGGGTCCTCGAAGAACATGTTGCGGACGGTTGTAGGAACCCTGCTCGGTACACTCACCTAGTGTTAAAAAAACTTTTAATTAAGACTTCAAACATTTCAAAAATAAGAAACATTTAGACTCACCACGTTCTTGCTTTTAGGCATCTTGGTGTCAATACGTTTCCACTAGTGAGATATAGTGCTAACTGCTGTTGAACTGCTGATAATTTGTTTAAACGTGGGATTTTATGCAAATCATTGTTTACTAACAATGTGCAGTACATCGTATACTATTTGAATTTAAAACCGTACTGCAAGTTGTGACCTGACATAAAAAAATGCAAATGTAAACAAATATAAGGCAAAAATTTTGACGGGTTACTAAAAACAAAATTAACAGATGAAAATAATTTCACTATAAAGATTATTTTGATATTCATAAAAAGTATGGTCACCACCGGATATCTAGGAGAAATTAAGCTAATCCGTAGGTCTTCCTGAGGATTTGCGGATTTATATAAAACAGACAATGAAAAATCTTTACAAAATAAAATAAAAACGATTTTTTTCCTTTTTCATTGCAAATCCAGGTACCAGTGCAGTGAGTTGGGCAGATTTTCAGAAATTACATTGACATTTCCTTTAAACAAAAAAAATCTGGAAAAAATCATTGTTGTATATTCTGCTATTATATAAAACTTTAAGTTTGGCCGGATAGAATATTCCTAAGTTTATAAAATGTTTGAATATTTATCAACAAATCCGCCAAATTGAGTTGCAGGAAGTGACCTGAAAATTGGTAAAGTAAAATGAAGACCCAGGATATGCATTTTCCAATTTTTCTCTGCTGTGGTGGAATCCGTTCTTCGTAATTTTCTTAGAATCAGTATTAGAAAATATGTTTTCTCAATTAAGGGTTGTATTTGAGTAAAAATGAGGATAATATCGTCAACATTTTATGCTGAAAAACGTATAAACTTTTTTAGTTTCCTTCTCTCCTTAAACATATCCCGATTGTATTATGTTTGCCCTTACGGTTATACATGTCTCTAATCCAAATTTTCAAGGTCTGCTTAAGGCTCATAAAAGAAAAATTAGACCTCAACCTTTTATGGTTAGGGTGCCAGAGAAGGCTTTTTAAAAGTTCAAAAAGTAAGTCGGAAAATTGTTGTAAAAATTAGTTAAAATCACTCTAAATATCATCAAGTGCGTTTGGATATCTGTCACGGTTTGTCACAGTCCATCTCACGTAAAACTATCTGCAGCAAAGTACATCATGTCAACATATCGGAATATATTTGTCTCTCTTACAAAATCCACAACCTTATATTAATCTTGATTATATTAAAAAAACGTCGCCCAACCAAAAAAAAATACTTAATAGCAAATGCGAAGAATCTAGATTTAATGGATGAAAATGGGCTCGTAAAGTTAAAACTGGACTTTTAATCAGGACCTCCAGTTTACCATGATCCATATATATATATATGGAGTTTATAAAGACACATGTGATCCAAAGTGTGCACTCTCTCACGCAAAAATCAATTAACATTTTGCTAAAAGCTCCGTTTCAACGAAAGTTAAAAACAACCACGCGTTGTATTTTCAAAAAGTTTAAAAAATGTCATGAAATGTAAATTAAAATCTTGGCTAGTTTTGAGGTGGTCAGTCTTATTCTTTTTGGGGATCCTGTATAATATACAGTATACATACATATCCTGAAGAATGCATCACACCGGACTAACCAGAGTGAGCAGCATTAGGTTTCTTCTATTTGAAATCAAACGTGTTTATGTCATAGACCTATAATATATTATGCTAAATCAAATAGTAAAATTTTAAATCTAAAAGTTGTAAATATCAAAGACGACTTAAATGTCATTTAATTTATTAGATTGAAACAATTATTTTCGAAAAATGTGTAACATGTGCAGAACGTCTCAAATATTTGAAATAATTTGAACAGATGGTTACTCTAGTGTTTACTCTAAAAGAAATCTAGTAAAGAACGGGAAAGAATGGTGCAGTATAAACTTAACCATTTAACTGCAGTGAGATTTATTTTTAAAGCTGCATAAATTTACAGTTTTGGAGAACAATTGTTTTGTGTTAACTTCTGTATTTTAAAGATACTACACTCAAAAGTCCTGACCTCTGTGAATAAGCATGGTTTAAGACTAGGATTAGCTAGCTCTTTTGTATACCTGGATTATAAGTACAAACTTCTGAAGTTTTTATAACGCCGGAACTCGATATCCACAGCGGAAACTTATAATCTTAAACGCGCGAGATTAAAGGCACTGTAAGCGTATTTTCAAGTGATCCTCCGTGTAAAGAAGACAATGCCCGATTAACAAAGGTACCCATAATGTGGAAGATATTGTCGTAATTCTAGGTTTAAAAGTGTTTAATTCTGATCATTCATTTAAAGTTGCCTGCAGTAGAAATGCGCAAGTTACTTTTGTAAGGAAACTCTAATTGAAAATAATCAGTTTTCAAAATTAAAAAATTCATATCTAATTCATTATTGATTAGACAAAGCTTAAGTCTACCTTTGTAAATTAGGAATTGAGGTTTACTTAAATTTACTCTTAAAACAGATTGATTTAGCTCCACTTGTGGTTTCTATATTAAAGCAATAAGTTTAATTTCAGCTTCAGAAAAAATGGAGGAAATGGTTTGAGTTAGATACTTCTCAAACTAAAAAAACAAAGATTTTTTTCACAATATTGATCAGAAAAAGAGTAACAGTATGGTATGGTATGGGGGCGCCCCTCTTTAAATACAAGGTTACATAAAATTACGATAGTTTTTTGCCACAAACTCTAATTTTTTAAACCCGATGTCGTTTACACCATTAGAGCGCAAATATATAGGATATTTGTAGCAAAAACTCAGTTCCTTTATATATTTACACTGAGTTCTTCTCCGTAATATATTTCTAAAAGAATATTTGAGTTTATTTGAAAATGACGGATGCTGTTAAATTAGCATATTGCACATGAAAAAGAAACATTGGCTAACCAAGAATGTAAATAATGCACTGCATTGTGAACACTATGCCAAGGGTGCATTAGTATACACTACGGGGGGAGTCAGAAAAGTAATCACAAGACATACAAGGTGTTCCAAAAAAACTCCCCCTATAAGGTACCAAGCGCTCATCTTGGTTCGATTTTTATATTTTTGTTAGATTAATAAAAACTTTGGATATTGATTACATTGATCAAATAAAAAAAACCTCTAACAGCTATCCCCCCCCCTCTTTCTATTTTTTGCTCATTCACTCTTATTTTTGACACAATCGCCTAGCTTGAAACTTTTTAACGTTTAAGACCTCTTTAATAACATTTTTTAATGTTTGGGGCAGTGTACATCCTTACAGGACGGTCGAAAATATATATATCTTCAATACAGAGATACAGAAAATGGAAAATCTAGAGAATTTGTGTTTACTTTGATTTAAGGTTAGTGTCAATATTATTTAAAATAAGTTGATAACAAGTATATGAATGATAACCTCATCTATCCATCTATCTATCTATCTATCTATCTATCTATCTATCTATCTATCTATCTATCTATCTATCTATCTATCTAATAAAGCAATAAAGCAACAACCAGAGCAGCTTCTCAGTTTTCATATTTATTAAATATTTATATCTTTATGTTCATAAAATTTATTGGATTGTAGTCTAATCATTTTTTTCTATTGACCAATTTAAAAAAGCATCAACAGTTTCAGTTTTATGCATTTTGAATGAAACATATAATAATATACAATAATGATGATGATAAATAAAGAAAAATAAAGATGTATTATGTAATTATTTCCATACAGTAGTAAAATAGATTTATAATTACCAATTATTCATCAAGAAAATCTCATAAAATGATAAAAAGGAAAATAAAGTGATAAACTTTCTACAACCATATTTTTACTCTGACATCATTTATGCTCTTAAATCTTTAAAAAGTTAAAATTCAACTTTGAACTAGATTAAAACATTTCTTAATTTATTTGACTAAAACAGTTTAAGTTAAAAAAAAAAAAACAATTATACAAATTTATATTTAACATTTCATATAGATATTTATAATTTATAATATGACAAGTTGCTAATATTACTATATTTGAGCAGTTTAGGGAATGTCGGCAGTTTGGGTAACTGCAATTGGGAATTTGGGACTTGAGGTATCTGACTGGGCAAAACCATTTTTTAATGAAAGCAACTTTAATAACTCTCAAACGATTTAACAACTATACATTTTTTGCCCTGACTAAACATTGCATTGGTTTTAGTGCTTATTGTGTAAGCCTAGCTAGGAAGGACTGGCTGTCCTGGTCCATCGATGGTCTAGATCTGTGATATTCCCTAGCAAATGCCTGGATTCTGTTGGTTGGGAACTTAGCTCTCATTCTCTTCTTGAGCATATAATCTGCAGAGTTAATCCATCTATGTGCTCCAGTTTCCTCAAGACTTGGTCTTCTGTATGGCATACGCTTGAAGATCCACATTAGCAACCTTGTTCCTTCCATTGTGCATTCTTTGTAAAGCCATTCAAACTTCAGCCTGACTTGGAGAATGTTATCCTTGGTTTCTTCAGGAGTCTCTCCTTTGAAAGGAAGTTGGCCGGACATAAGAACATAGAGAAGCACACCAAGAGACCAGACATCTGACTGAGGATAAGCCTTAGCTTCCTCAATGATTTCAGGAGCAGCATAATCAAAGTTGTAAGTTCCCTTGATCTGAGTTCCGGTGGTAGCAACAGTCTGAGTTGTTTCAAAGTTAGCTAGTTTAACCTGGACGGTTCTTCCTAGGGATCTGCCAGATGTAACAAGTATATTAGCAGGTTCAAGGTTTAGATAGACCTTTCCTCTCCAGTGGATATAGTCAAGGGCATCAAGGACCTGACCAGCAATTTCTGCAACCATCTGTTCAGTGTAACTGGATCTCTCTGCGATGTAGGTTAGGACATCAGTAGAAGGAAGAGGTGCAAACTGAAGAAGTGTAAGCTTGTCATTGTCAAAAGCATCTAGAAGAGATACAATTTTCTCATGGCGTAGAGTTTTCAAGTTCTTGAACTCTCTCTGAGCAGCCTCATTTCCCTCTGGATCAGCTTTGTCAAAAGCCTTTACAGAGTACATTTTACCCTCCTTGTTAACATTGGCAGTAACAGAGAATCTACCCTTAGAAATTTCATTCATGAAATCCACTGATCCAGGGTTCTCAGCCCTGATTTTCATGGGTTTCTTCTCACAGTCATAAGAAAGAACAGTAGAGACCTCTTCAATATCTCCCTTGGCTTGAACCTGCTGGAGAGCATCATAAAACTCAGCTCTAGAAGCTCCTGATGATGGAGTCATAACAATTCCAGATGGAATGGAAGGAATAGACCATCCAAATTGGTTTTTGGCAAGAACTCTGAACTTGTATCCATGAGATGGACGTAGGTTGTCAACAACAAAGTATTCATGAGTAATATCATCAGCAAGATCAACCCAATCAATGTCAGTATCAATGTATCCCATTTGGACTTTGTAGCAGATGACAGGGCTATGATTCAACAGAGCTGGAGTCTGCCAAGACAGAAGAATATCTGTGTCTGTCATGGCTTCAATGTTTGGTGAATCAGGAGGTCCAGAGATATCTCCGAGCACAACTCTTACTGAACAGGTAGATTGGCCAAGAGGATTGCGGGCAACAACCTTGTAAAGTCCTGCATCTGATGGCATTGCAGGGTCAAGAGTAAGATGGCTCCATCCATCCTCTGTGTTTTCAACTCTCAGTCTGGAATCATCCATGAAGATGAGGTCATTCTTCAACCATTGGATTGCAGCTCTAGGATCACTGGCAACCAGACAAGACAGGTTCAGGGGTTCTCCTTCTGTAAGGGCCACATCCCTGGGCTTTTCTCTGAAGAATGGAGTAACACCATCAATCACCTCTCTGGTAGTAGTAATCTCAACTTCCTCTCCAGAAGCAATCTTCTTAGGCTTGAAAACTGAGAAGTCATCCTTGCTCCAGGCATCCAGACGAGCATCTCTCTGAGCTTCCATTTCCTCATCCATGACATCAGTAAAACGCCTTCTCTCTTTGATAATTGGGCACTGAAAATAAGAAAAGTTCATTATCATTATTTAATATACATTATTGCTTTTTAATTACATACCTTAACATCCTTAAACTCTGAACTCTGGGTTCTTGCAACACTGAGATATTCTCTCAACCTGGCTGGGAAATCGGCATCTCTGACTTGGAGAAGGTATGTATCTGGTCCATGCTGGTAACTATAAAAATAATTTTTATTAGAACAGTGCTCAATAGCTAAATAGAACTTATATTCAATCAAATTAGTTTTAATATTTACTTGGATGGATTTTCAAAGGCCTCAACAGTGTACTCTGGCCTTTTGTATTCTTCTCTCTCAACAACTGGAGCTTGCTCTGGTTCAGGTTCAGGAGCAGGTTCTCCTGGTGGATAAACCATGCAGGATGGATGGGTGAATGCTCCATGAAGAGGTCTACGACGATACAGGAAATCACATGATGCATTAGTTATCCATTCCTTAAGCCCAACATAGTAATTCCTAAGACGTTCTGTGCTGATTTGATATTGCTCACTGATCTCAATGCCAGGTTGCTTCAGAATCTGGAGCCAAGGATGAGCAAGAGACTGTCTGACACTCATACGCTCCTCAGGTTTATAGACTAGAAGATTGGCAACAAAGTGCTTAGCTTCTCTTGAGATATTTTGCCACAACTCAAAATCAAAGTCAATATCTCCCATCTGAATACGCTGAAGAGTTTCTCTGTCATTTTGTCCTCTAAACGGAGAAACACCAGAGAGCATAAGATAAGTTATGATACCAACAGACCACATATCAGAGGCAAAGGTTGCTCCTTCTCCATTTACGATTTCAGGTGCAACATATTCAGGCTGTCCATACTCCATCTTCACAACTCCTACAATTCTCTTTGACAGGGAGAAGTCACAGATCTTAATTTCAGTACCTCCTGGACGAGTAAAGAGAACATCACATGGAGTAAGAGAAAGATGTCCAATGCTCTTGGAGTGCATGTACTCAATACCTTCAAGCATTTGCTGAATAATTCTGGCAATTTCAATCTCAGTGATGTATTTTTCAGATGTAATAACATCAAGAAGCTCCCCACCAGTTGCAAGTTCAGTGATTAAAGTCATCTGATCCCTGGAATCATACACTTCCACTAAACGAATAAGACGAGGATGGTGAAGAACATTCATCATTTCAAATTCATTCATCATCCAGGCTTTGTATTGATGGCCATGCATCATCTTAGCAGCAAAATTTCCACCAGTAAATCTGTATGGAATCATGCAAGGATCTTGAGTTGGTTGTCCTCCTTGCTTTACACTTCTATGAAGCCACCAGTATTTGGATTCTGCCTCTTCAATTGCATGATGGCCAGACTGTTCAGTCTCAATAGGAACAATCTGCTGAACAAAGTAGCATACACCCTGTGTACCACGACCAATCTCCTCACAAGTGTGGTAAAATTTGTCAAATCCCTTGGTTCTGGGAATGATCTGCTTTGTTCTGCGATAAGTCATCCATTCAAATTCTTGTTCATCCTCAAGAATACGAACCATGACAGAGTGAGAAATGGATCCACAAATATTGGAAGCAGTGACAGTATACAAACCTTCATCTTTGGTAATGTAGTCTTCAAAGAAAAGAGTAAATGTTTGGGGAGGATAGTGATGAGCCTGGACACGAGATGTTTCCTTCAAAGGAGCAAAGTCCTTGTACCATTTAATTGCAGGTTTTGGTACACCATAAACCTCACATTCAATCTTTCCTCCATTAACACCAATAAGATGCACATCAGTTGGAGCTTTGATAAATTCAGGGTACTGAGCCATCATGACAAGAACAGGTTGCATCATTTCTCCATGATCATTGACACCAATGCACTCATATGTTCCAACATCAGATGCCTGGAAGCTATTGACTTGCAGTTTAACAACACCATTCCTTGTGTAATTCATGGTAAACTTATCTCCATCAATTTCAAGAGCTTTTCCTTCAAACTTAAAGCTAACAGAAGGCATAGGAAAGCCATACAAGTTCCACGTGATTTCAGGGCAGGAGTTTTTGACTGAATATTGGGATACTTCTTCCTGCTTTAAGAAATGAGGGCGATGAGTATAACCTTCATAGGGTTCTTTGTAGATATCAAATCCTTTAGGGAATCTTGTAGATGCAGTGAGATCAAAAGGTTCTCCAGGTCTAAGGAAAAGTTCTTTTGGTCCACAATCAGCTGCAAAGTTAGACCTGTGGGCCACACAGTAAGGAGAGGGATCACTCAATCCAAAACGATTTCTGACAGAACACCTGAACCTGTAATCTCTCAATGGGGTCAATCCATTGATATCACAAGTGATTCCTCTTACTTCTTCATAAACCTCTTCCCAATCTCCATCAGGATATTCAGCCATTTCAACCATATAGTATGGTGCAAGATTGGGACCAAGAGGAAGTGCTGGTTTCCAAGTCAGAGTTACCTTAGTGTCTCCCATTTGAGTAATGAGAGGTTTATCAGGCATCGGCATGGGAAGGCCACCAAGAGTGTATTTTTCAAATCCTTGGTACAAGTTTCCAAGAGATTGTCCAGGTTGAACATCAAGTCCATCATAGATAAGCTTAGCTTCACAGGTAGCTTCTCCAAACTTGTTCCAAACTCTAAGACTATAGTTTCCAATGTCAGATTCTTCAACATATGCCATGCTGAGACGAATAAGGCCAGTTCTTTCCTTAACAATGTGAATTCTGTCAGTAGCAAACAGGGGTTTATTTTTAAAGAAGAATTCGAACTCTGGTTCTGGAGTGCCAGTCACAAGTGCAGTAAACCTGGCAGCCATTCCTCTGAAGACTAGTTCATCACCAATCTTCTTAAGGAACTCAGGAGCATCTTGTCTTCCCTTTTCAACAAATTCAACTATCTCTAGAGATCCTCTTGATTCTACAGTGCCCTCTTGATTCTTGGCAACTACAGTATAGCTACCAACATCTGACTCTTGAATCTTTTTAATCAGTAGCATGCGAGTCATGCCATTAGTCTTAAGCTTGTGATGTTTATCTTCAACTACAGGTTCGCCATTGAAGAACCATTCAACCTCAGGCTTAGGGTTTGAACCAACTTCACAGATGAATTTAGCATCACAGTTCAGCAATTGTTTGACATTATTCAAGGGTTTGGAGAACAATGGAATAGAGTAGACTTTCTTAACCTCTGCATTGCAAACCCCAGTTGTAGTTCCCAATGAGTTAGAGAGATGGCATTCATATGCACCAGAATCAGATACCTTAGCATCAACAATTTCAACTCCAATAAGTTCTCCATCAGAAAAGAAGTGTGCTCTTGCATCCAATGGAGCTCCATTCTTAGACCATGAAAACTCTGGAATGGGATTACCCTTGATGGGTGTAGTTATTCTGAGTTTTTGACCCTCATCAACAGAGATATCTCCCAATGGACGAGCAAAGCTGGGTGCAGATGTTTCAACACCTTCCTTCAGTCTGGTCTTAATAGCAATGTTGGCCAGGGATCTAGCTGTGCCCTCACTATTGTATGCAATTGCAACATAAGCTCCCTTATCCTCAGCTGTAGTGCTTTCAAAGATGAGACCAAAAGTGCCATCTGGATTAGTGAATTGTTTGATTCTGTTATTGTCTGGTTCCCATTCTTGATCATTAAACATCCACTTGATTTCAGGTTGAGGATGTCCAACCATTTTACCCTCAAGCTTAATAGGTGAACCTTCCACAGCCTTTGCAGATCTAAGTAATGAGGTAAACTTAGGTTCTTCCATAGCTTGGGTGACTTGCACAGTGCAAGATGTTTCACAGTCTCCAACATCATTCACACCTTTAGCTGTATAGGTACCAGCATCAGACAGGGAGCATTTCTCTACAACCAGGGTAGCACCACCACTTGCATCTTGAGAGATAAGAACACCTTTGCGTACCTTAATTTCATTACCATCCCTCAACCAGCTAATGGTTGGCATAGGGAATCCTGAAATCTTAGCCTTCAACCTGAGATCTTTCTTTCCAGGAATAACAATTTCTTTGGGATCAATTTCATTGATTACCTTAGGAGGTTTAGGCTTGCCCATAACATCAAGCATAGTTTCCAGTTTAGTCTCTCCAGCAGTATTTTTAACCAACAAAGTATACTTGCCATTATCTTCATCTCCACATTTGGTAATTCTTAGAGTGCAAATAATACCATTTCCATCATCTGCCTCTTCAACTGTAATGATAACTCTCTCACCATCAGCCTTAATTTCTTCGCCTTCACATAACCAGACTGCTGTTGGAGGTGGGGATCCATCAATCTTAGCAGTTAGTTCAAACACTCCACCTTCTTTGACTTCTTGCATTTTGGGGAAATCAGCAATTATGGTAGGCTTGACTTGGATAATTTGGAAGATGCATGGAGAAACACTTTCGCCAACCATGTTGCTGGCTTTCAAAATTATCTAAATGAAACAATTTGTCATTAGTTATAAGTTTTTTTACTTTTATAAATTCTGCATAAAAATAAAAGACACTTACATCTCCAAAGTCTTTCATGATGATGTCCCGAACAGTCATCTTGTACACTGTTCCTTCATTAGTAAGTTCTTCTTCAAACAACCTCCTCTTACCCTTCTGCAAAGGCTTATCACCTTGAAACCACTCAACAGTTGGTCTTGGTACACCTGCAACAACTGCTTCAAAGATAGCTGTTGATCCAAGAGTGGTCGTAATATCAGCCAAAGGCTTGGGGAATGATGGTTCTTCTGTAATCACAAGAAGTTTAGCTCTTGCTTCAGAGTGACCTACTCTATTTGTGCAGCAAAGTTCATAAGATCCTGCATCTTCTAAAACAGCATCTTTAATGGTAAGAGTATATGTAGCTTCTAGTCCACTTTCTTCATAATTTGATGAATATCTTGCCCATGCTTTGTCATCTTTATCAATCTTTTCCATTTTAGCTTCTCCTCCATCAACTCCTTCTTCAAGAATCTTGTACCAAACTCCTTCAGCAAAGGGGAAAGCCTTAGCTTTGGCAATGATTTTTGCCTCATCTCCAGGACCAGCTTTCCATTCTCCAATTTCATCAATCTCTGGGGAAAACTGTACCTCTAGAGATCCCTCTTTCATGTCTTCACCATTCTCATTTTTAGCAATTACCTTGATTTTTCCAGCAGTATTGGATTGAACATCCAGAATGTCGAGACGATAAACATGTTCATCTTCTTTAACAGAAATCTTCATAACTTCACTGTCAACAATTTCAACATCATTGAGATACCACTTGACCTCAGGAATAGGCTCTCCTCTGATCTTAATATTGAAAAAGGTTTTGGCTCCCTTATTTGCTTTTTTATCTTTCAGATCAGCCATACACTTTGGAATCTTCAATTCTTCTAGTGAATGCACTTTTAGCTCTGATGACAACTTTTTGTCTCCCGCTCTATTAGTAAATTCAACACCATAGTTTCCCTCATCATCCATAGTAAGCTGGCTGATCTTCAACTTGTAACATCCACCAGATTCTGTGACCAAAAACCTGCAGTCTTTGGCAGAGGTATCAATCCCTTTCCCCTCTTTGGTCCACTTTGCCACTGGTTTAGGGCTTCCATCACATTCTATGCTAAATGTAAAATCATCACCTTCAAATGCTTCAACAGGATCTTCAAGGTCATCACAAGATGGTTTGGTGTTAACCTTAAGATTACACTTGCAAGATGCTGTTCCCATTTCATTTGTAGCTTTGATTTCATACTCTCCAGCCATTCCTCTGCTAGCACTGTTGATTGTCAGACAGTCATTACCAGTAGGATCCACATAAACCTTGACCCTGGGATCTTTTGTAATCTCTTGACCATTCTTAAACCACTTGATATCTGGTCTTGGCTCGCACTTAATCTTGCACTTCAGAACCACTTGTTTAGACTCATTTGCTTCAGCATCAGCAAGCTTAGATTCAAACTTGGGCAACATTTGTGCAGCAAAAGTAAAAAATTGGGACATTTCTCCATGTGGGTTTCTGGCAATCACAGCCCAGTTACCATTGTCTTCAGTAGCAGTTTTTTGGAAGGTCAATTCAAAAGTTTCAGCATCCTTCTTCACACATTTAACCCTTGAATCTTCCTTGATTGGGACACCATCCTTGTACCAAGTAAGTTCAGGATTGCCAGTTACCTTGGCAATAATCTTGTATGGATCATCAACACCAGTTTTAACATCTCCAATTGGATCCTTGAACTGAGGAGATCCAGCAAGCACCAATTTAGCTTCAGTTGCCACCTCACCAAGATCGTTGTGAAGAACAGCCTTGTAAGAACCAACATCCTCACCAGTAACTTTATTAATAATAAGAGCAACTGTTTCAGGATCGGGATAAACAAACTTGTGCCTGTCTCCAGCAACAAGAGGCTTTCCATCCTTTGTCCATCTAATATTTGGCCGAGGATATCCTTTCATTTTCAATTCCATCATTGCAGAACCACCAGGGGATGTTTCTGCTGGTGTGAGTTGGGCAAGGATCTTAGGTGGTTCTGGAGCTTTCAACATCTGAGTGACAGATCCTTCAACAGTCAGTTCTGCACTACAGGCAATTTTTCCTAAAAAAATAATAATTCAGGCTTGTACTTTAGTCTATGTATATTACATTGGACAATTTAATTACCTCCGCTTGTGTTGGCTACACATGTATACAATCCTGCGTCTTCAGGATTGATATGTTGGAATACTAGAGCAAGGGTATCTTCTTCATCTTTGAACAGCACCTAATAAACATAGCTCTTAAATGTGATCTTTAAATAAATAACAGAAGCTACAAAGTACACTGTACAGGCAAAATTTCTTGGAAATCAAATTTTAAAGATTTTATATTGATGTTCTTTCTTAAACATAAATCCTCAGTAAGTCTCTTTTTAAAGGAAGTGTTCACGAAAAATGAAAGGGGGTATAGGCTTAATGCGATAAAAAAGCATGTATGATCGCTACTAATCTTACTTCTATCTGTTGCGTCTATAAGGAGAAAATTGTTAAAAACGACTCACACCAAAGAACACAGCGTCCATACAAATTCGGAAAGATGCAACATTCAACTTGGATCGTAAACAAATTAATTTAATTCCAAACAAATCATTCAGATATTACAAACAGTAGTCATTGATTATTTTTCGACGCATTCATATCTAGTTAATATTTCATAATATTTTTGATTTTGTTTATTTTAAAGTAATTTTCGCTGGCACTGGATTTTCGAACCTTCCTGGGAAACATGAAAATGTCGTCTTCATTATCAAAAATCCTCGAAACAGGAATAAATGCATCGAAAAATGATCGATTGGTATTGTTTGTAATATCTGAATGATTTGTTTGGAATTAAATTGATTTGTTTACGATCTGAGTTGAATGTTGCATCTTTCTGAATTAGTATGGGCACTACGTTTTTCGGTATTAGTCGTTATTAACAATTTTCTCTTTATAGACGCAACAGATAGAAGTAATATTAGTAGCAATCAAAAACCCTTATTTTTCGCCGCAAGCCTATACCCCCTTTCATTTTTCGCGAACACTCCCTTTAAAACTAAAGAAAAAGAACAAAAATGTATCATCACCTTAAATCTATCATCAGGGTCGAACTCCTGGCCCCCCTTGAACCAGGTAAATGTTGGCTCCTCTCCTGGTTTTAGAGTTTTCTCTTTTCCTTTGAGAAGTGCAAACACATCCTTGGCATCTAGATTAACGATTTAATCTGGGGAACAGTAAAACCATAATAATTGTTGTCATCTTATTTCTTTTAACATGAAATGTTGCGAATGATGTTGTTATTATGTAGCTGATCTTTTTATTAAAATGTGCACTGCCCATTTTTTTCTCTTTGACATTTTGCAATTGGGAGCCCAACTTTGTCAACCCACACAACCTATAAGTTTTAAACCAAGCCAAGAACATGTCCATGGTTCTATCGAGTTTTAAATCAATATTTGTGGCAAATTGATGAAACAGACAAACGTTGATTACAACGTTAAATAAATGCATTATACATATCAATTACAAATTACAATTACTTTACAGTTTTTAGATGACTACTCAAGGTAACAAGTCATAGTAATCAGAGAATAGGAAATGTGACTTAATGTTAATTTTTAAAAAGTCCTCATGACATTGTAATTGAAATTCTCAGTTCCATTATTTCGTGTAGTTTAGGCTCTTATAAATCTTTTAATAAATTATTATAATTGTTTACCTTTAATTGTGACTTTTGCTTCCGTATCCGCTTTACCATGTGTGTTCTGTGCTTCTGCCTTATATGTTCCTGCATCACTGTCTTCAACCTGGACATAGAGATAAATACAAATGTCGTCTTAGTTCTGCACTATTCTAAAATCTTGGCAACTGTCCCTGATTTAGAGAATTAGGAAGGGGTGGTTGTACTCTTTCCAAAAAGAAACTGCATAACTTTAACGCAGAATGTTTTAGCAACTCTTCAGATTGTAAGAACTAATCCTGATTTTGTTAAGAAATGAATATTTTATATTGATTATAGATTTTAGGATTTTCCCAAGATTATCTGCTTAAAATCTTCAATATATTTGATCATGCTATTTAAATAACCTTGATTTAAAAATATTTGAGAAAGTTAATGCAAAAGAAAAAACATTTAGCCAATTCAAAACTTATTTTTCATTCAGAAAGTCAGAAAATTTGAAAATTTACTTTAAATTTTGAGAGAGAAAAAACGAATTTTTGGAAACTAAAAGTTTTTTTTAAAAGTTATTTCACCAACCTTGTGAATAACTAGTTCATAGCTTCCATGTGCAGCATGTTCTCTGTTAACTGTAACTCTACCAGACTCAATAATTTCAGAACCATCCTAAATTGGGACCATGAAAAACTTATAATTTTCAACCTTTTTCTGAGATCTGATGACGTAGATATTGGTTTCTTGCATGTAAATGGATCTATGGTATTATCCATAATATGTTTTCTGGGAACTTGAACCGCTTTATTGAAAGCAGAATTATCTCCATGGACATGGTGTCATAACAAATAGATTATCAAGTACAATAGGTGGCAACAGAGAAATGAACATATTATACACAACGTCACAAGTGTCAAATATAACAAAGAAAACGAATTTGTCTCAGATTGGTTGACATGTTTTCTATGATTAAATAAAAACAAAAACTAAAAAAATATATAAAATTGCACTTATTTTACTGTAAGAAAAGCACTTTATTCTAAAATGATCACTATTATTGATCATTTTGTCGGACACAAAAACTGAATTGACACTTGTGACGACAGAATACGACTGTACTGAGAGTGTACAAATTCTACGTTGCCATCTATTGTACTTAACAATCTATTTGGTGTCATAATATAAACATTCGAAACAGATGACAACTTCAAAAACAAAATTTTAAAACATGTTTTAATTAGAATTCCAATTAAACATTGGACATTCTTCGAGGTTTCTAAAGTGAAGTCTCTAATATTTGCATCTTCAAAATTAAGGTTTTTTAAAACATTTTCTCAGAATTAAAATCTTTTTATTTAGAGGTAAAGGTAGGTTGAAGAGGTAAAATTAAGAACAAGGGTATGGCAACACTTGAAAGTTTTTTCAGTCAATACCTTGAAAATCTTGACGTCTGGAGTGGGGTTGCCCCTACAGTGGATCATGAAGGATGCCGCTGAGTCCTTGATGAACTCAGAGTTTCTCAACTTGACAATAAATACAGGGTGTGAGGACTCCTCGCGTTCCTTCTTCTCTGCAGCAGATACTAGACACAGAAACATAGAATACAGATACTAGACACGGATACATAGCATACATATACTAGACACAGATATACAGAATACAGATACTAGACACAGAAACATAGTATACAGATACTAGACACGGATACATAGCATACAGATACTAGATACAGATATGCAGAATACATATACTAGACACAGAAACATAGTATACAGCTACTAGACACAGATACATAGCATACAGATACTAGACACAGATATATAGCATACAGATACCAGACACAGATACATAGCATACAGCTACTAGACACAGATACATAGCATAAAGATACTAGACACAGATATATAGCATACAGATACTAGACACAGATAAATACAGATACTAGACACGGATACATAGCATATAGATACTAGACACAGCTATACAGAATACATATACTAGACACAGATATATAGCATAAGATACTAGACACAGCTATACAGAATATATATACTAGACACAGATACATAGCATACAGATATTAGACACAGCTATACAGAATACATATACTAGACACAGATACATAGCATACAGATACTAGACACAGCTACATTGAATACATATACAAGACACAGATACATAGCATACAGATACTAGACACAGCTACATTGAATACATATACTAGACACAGATACTGGACACAGTTATACAGAATACATATACTAGACACAGATACATAGAATACACATGCTAGACACAGACACATAGAATACAGATACCAGACACAAATACATAGAATACAGATACAAGCTCTGCTAAAATTGAGCTCCATTCTTCTGTTCGGCGCCGGAGGTGATGAACAGCTTTCTTTACATCTTCTGATTCCAGAGACTTTGCAAAGAACTCCAAGTGCTCAACAGTCTGTTTTAGAGCGTCGATATCTGTATGAGGAACCCTTCTTAGCTTTGCTATAGCAATACTTAAGAACCAGTAGTTCAAAGGCGAAAAGTTTGGAGTCTTTGTTGGCCAGGGATGATCCATCATTCGGCTGATAACCCTGTTGTTAAACTTATCTTTTAACCCAGCTCAACAGAGCTTAAAGGGGTTCCTCAAACAGATATTGACAACCTAAAACAGACTGTGAAGTCCTTTGCTGTTTGCAGAGTCTCTGGAATCAAAAGGTGTAAAGAAAGCTGTTCATCACCTCCAGAGCCGAGCACTACAGCCTCTCCTCAGAAGAATGAAGCTCAATTTGAGCATAGCTTGAGCAAGCACAAATTGATCATGAATGGAGATCATTGATATGTTTTTTCAAATGTTCAAACCTGTAGAAATCAAATATATAAAATATAAACAATTTAACTTTGTGTTTATGTTAATATAAAATTTAAATTAGTATTTTTTACATTTGACATTTTAAAAAAGCTTAAAATCCATTTACAAGATTCGTATGATAGGATACACTCTTATTATGTACGTTAGATATAAATGATTAGCATTAGATACAGGGTTATATTAGTGCATGCTGAAAATAATTCTAAATAAAAGTTTTTTTGTTGCAACAAAAGCCGTTTCCCCCAAAAATGAATTTATAAACTTTTGCAGATTAAATTTCTAATGAAATTCAAGTTTATAATGATTAAAAGTTCTCATTACAAAATAAATCATGTTTCCCACAAAGTTAATTAAAATAGTATTTTTGAAGATTCGAAGCTATAAACCCCACTCCCCTGTATTAGTCGAATTACTTACAGTTGTGTACCTCAAGATTAGCTGAGCAGGTAGCTGTCTCGCCTCCTTCAGCGGTCAACCTAGACGATCATATTCAATTCAAATTAAAATACTAGACTTCTGAAGCACCCATCTTCTTTTTTTTACTTTTTTTTACTTTTAATGGGGGCTCTATCTGTGGGCATTATACAATATAAAAAAATTCGATGATTTATTATTTTTTCTTGGATTTTCAAAATTTTACGAAAATAAAATTTTCTGGGGGCATACTTTAAATTTTGAGCATCCAGATATCTACCCTCGGGTCATGTGAGTTGCCACAATAAATCTGGACCCGATCTGTTCCGCCTTGTTCATGTTTAAATAGCTAGACGGAAAGAAATTAAGTGTCTATGGTACAAACTCTGATTTTCTAATCCATATATCTTGGCAAGTTGGCACCCCAATGTCGTAGATCTTAGATACTTTAAACAATGAATTCTGCTAGATAAAATAAATATCAAAGGTTTACATCAGTTTGAACAGACATAAGAATTGAAAAATTTGAGTTTGTGGCTAATTCCTTTTCATATTATGTACCTGCAAGTGTACTGTTCTGAGTATCTACATACCTGCAAGTGTACTGTCCTGAGTATCTATGTACCTGCAAGTGTACTGTCCTGAGTATCTATGTACTTGCAAGTGTACTGTTCTGAGTATCTATATACCTGCAAGTGTACTGTCCTGAGTATCTATGTACATGCACGTGTACTGTCCTGAGTATCTATGTACCTGCAAGTGTACTGTCCTGAGTCCTCAGGTCTGCAGCTCATGAGAACCATTGTGAACATATTTCCTTTACTGGAGATTTTAACTCTATCTGCCAGTTTATCATCAAGGGGTTTGTTGTCCCTGAAATTATAAAGTGTTCTTTACTCAAATATTATTATTGTAAAAATTAACCCCCTCCTAGATCCCCTACCTTCTCTTTAATCATTAAAAAGTTATAGATTGAAGAACAATTACCTGAGCCATGTTGCTGTGATACCACTAGCTGTGCTACCTGTAGCCTCAAACGTGGCATTTTCCCCAGCTGAAATAGATAGATATATGATAGATAGATAAACTAATAAAGCAATAATCAGAACAGCTTCTCAGTTTTCATATTTATTAATACAAATTGTTTCAGATCTCTCGATCCTCATCAGTCAATAAACATGATAGATAGATAGATAGACAGATAGATACAAAGATAGATTTATATTTATAGATAATAGTTAGAAAGATAGATTAATAGAAATATAGATTTAGATAGATAGATAGATAGATAGTGGTATACATAGATCATTTCTTGTGTACAGGGTGTCCCGATAAACACGTGAATTTAGTGCCAAATTAAATGGTCTTTAGCCTCCGTTCATTAATTACAAGTAAACAAATTCGATGTAAAATCAGCTGTTTATTGGGACACCATGTTCCTTTGAATTAATAATATTAAAACTTACGGCTACAAAGCTGCCCTTGCATTTTTCTTGTGAAAGAGAGCCCCGCCATGTCTGAAATTTAACAAATATAAAAATAAAGAGTTTTAATTGTTCAGATTTCAGTTGTTCAGTTATTCAGTTGTCTAGTTGCGGAATATTGCGAGGTTTGAAAAGAAAGCTCAGCTATTTAAGGAAAGGAATCTGGGACTGACCGTTCTATCAATCCGGGGGAGTTCACAGGATCAAAAATAGAATTCAAACTTTTAACTTTTAGTTGAGCTTTCTTCGTTTTAGCCTTGCTTCATAAACACATAATTATCAGTTACTCATAACCAATTATGATGAATGTAGATTTGAGAAACCCAATCCTATCTGCCAGCCCCCCCCCCCTCTTTTTTTGCGACTCCATAATATTTTGTACTTTTTGGCTTTATCCATATTTATTAAATGCCTAAAATTAACATTTTTAAAAAGCAATTAAATTAAATTTTCGACAAAATAATTATTTGAGCTAAGAGGTCTGAAATAAAAAAGTATTACTATGTCTTTGATGAGAAGGATGGATTTGATGAGAAGGATGGATTTGATTAGAAGAATGGATTTGAAGAGAAGGATGGATTTTTGAAGAGGATGGATTTGATGAGAAGGATGGATTTGATGAGAAAGATGAATTTGATGAGAAGGATGGATTTGATGAGAAGGATGGATTTGATGAGAAGAATGGATTTGATGAGAAGGATGGATTGGATGAGAAGGATGGATTTGATGAGAAAGATGGATTTGATGAGAAGGATGGATTTGATGAGAAGGATGGATGTGATGAGAAGGATGGATTTGATGAGAAGGATGGATTTGATGAGAAAGATGAATTTGATGAGAAGGACGGATTTGATGAGAAGGATGGATTTGATGAGAAGGATGTATTTGATGAGAAAGATGGATTTGATGAGAAGGATGGATTTGATGAGAAGGACGGATTTGAGGAGAAGGATGGATTTGATGAGAATGATGGATTTAATGAGAAGGATGGATTGGATGAGAAGGATGGATTTGATGAGAAGGATGGATTTGATGAGAAGGATGGGTTAGATGAGAAGGATGGGTGTGATGAGAAGGATGGATTTGATGAGAAGGATGGATTTGATGAGAAGGATGGATTAGATGAGAAGGATGGATTTCGATCTCCGTGACCTCAGCTACAGCATGCATTTATCCTAGATATCAAGACGAATGCACAGTGTAACCGAAACCACAGGATCCAGTATCAGGGTAAACTAGGAAACCAAACGAATGGCAGTGAAGTTCGATCCACAAGACACATCTTTCAATTGTATTTTTCTAGAATGATTTCATTCTTCAAGAATTTATGTGAATGTTGTTTCTTTATTCTTTTGTAAATTCTGTGTCACCGCTTTCTCAGATTTTCTATATTTTGCTCCGGGTCTTGGCTGAGATCCAGCAACTCTCCAGGATTTACTCCAGGTATAATCTAGAGCAGGGAGCAGGAGAAGATCCAATCTTGGCAGAACATTTAGAAAGCTTTCTTAATATTTCGAAACTTATAATGTGGGAATTAATATTTTTTTTTATTTTTTAGTGTATAAATTGTAATTTACACAATTAAAAAATTAAAAAATAATAGCTTTTAATCACACAAATATTTGAATAATATAAATAATATAACAAGACTGCACGTTCACAAAATGTTGTGAATATTGATAACAGATTAAATAAAATACAATTCATTTAATTGTACAAAAAAACTGACCTATATTTCTCTGTGTATATTATGTAAGTATATTCCTCTCTGTTCTCTCAGCAGTTCTCACTAAAAAAATGAAATATTTCTAAATTGTACAGTTTTAACTGGTTATTCTAAAAACTTTCTTATTGAATTTTTTCAAAAACCTTGATTTTTATTTATTTCCTAATTTGTAAACATTTTTTCTCAAATTTATTTTTGTGTTGAGATAAGGGGGTGTTATGTAGTACCGTTCTTAGCTGTTGTTGGTAGGACCCCACCTTGCCCACTGATCTTAGAGTTGAATGTTGGCTACCTCGCTTACTTGCTGCCCAGCTGACCAAGCTGACCCGTCCAGCTAGCAGCAGCATACCTCCTTCTCCAAGCCAGGGATCACAAACTTACATTTTTATATTTACTATTCGACACATTTTGTAGATCTTTTTTGAAGGGTTTAATTAGCAAAACAGTTTTTTGTTTAGTAATTTTGAAAAATATGTTTTGCCCTGAAATACTTTAGTACAGGATCCTTACTAACTTTCTCTTTAAACATTCCATCTGGAGTTTCCTGTATCCTGTATGTCTATTTTTTGTATCCTGTCCAATGTTTTGTATCCTGTTTTATATAGTGTGTATCCGGTATCCTAAATATATGTCAGTTATTTGTTTCCTTGATCTCATCATATTTGAACCGCTAGCTAACCGATCATGCTCAATTTTTTTGGAGAACCAGACAAGAATGATCTATGAACGGTCGCCCCTGGTCAGTCGAAATAAAAAATTTGACATTAAAATAATGTTGATTAATTTTTTTTTTGGAATTCACTAATGAAAATTTGTCAGTTTAATTTTGTATCTATTTGTATGATAGGTCACGAAGAGGAAGATTTAAAAGCTAAAATTATTTCTTGAACAGTCTAGTTATATGAATATTTCTGCAATAAGTACATTTCATGCTGATCCCAATTTACTCTAATCCCAACTTAAATTCTAAACATAATTCATCTTTTAGTAAGGATTTAAAAATAATTGATTTGTATTTCCAAATACAGTGTGTTCCACTAAACATGATAAATTTTTGAAATGTGATTTACCGTATTCTTGAAAAATGGTTTCACAGTTTTAACCATTGTAATATTTTAAAATAAAAAGAAGATAAATAGATAGATAGATGCAGCATCATAAAAAGAAAACAAGGAACCTTATTTAATCTGTTTTTAAATCTGTCTGCCTCACTGTGATCTAGACAAAAAGAAAGTGTAACTTTTATGAATCTTGACTCTGCAAAGCTGACCTGGTGACCTCTTAGCTCATCTAGTTTTGATTTAATGAACAATTATAATAAAAGCAAATTTATTCGGTGACATTTTGGAAATTCAAAATATTTTTGTCCTCTAAAGAGAAGTCATGATTAAAAACATAAAAGCAAATTTATTCGGTGACATTTTGGAAATTCAAAATATTTTTGTCCTCTAAAGAGAAGTCATGATTAAAAACATAAAAGCAAATTTATTCGGTGACATTTTGGAAATTCAAAAAATTTTTGTCCTCTAAAGAGAAGTCATGATTGAAAACATAAAAGATTTCAATCTTACGTCCCATTAACTTCAGTTTAACGTGGCTTGTCTGTATCCAATAAACGTCAAACGGCTGGACTTATCGAGACAAAATATTTGTTTGACAACTCACATGTCCAGGTATGGTCTATGAATGGTTGAAGATGTAAATTTTTGTCGGAAAAAAATTGTCGACATTACATCTTTTTTAATTGCGAAAAATTCAACAGAAAAATCCTCAAAATGTGATTAGTTAGAATTGTTTAATGAAAAAAGCGCCCAGGGATGGCTAGGAACTTAAATTCTTCTATAATTGTCATGTATTATAACTGTTATTATAATTATAATATTATATTATAACACATTGTATTTCCCTAAATTTTGTCCTTCTTTAGTATCCGAAGAAAATCCCAAGAATGTGACGGACAAAAAACTAATTTAAATATTACAATTTTCAAATTAATTAATTCTTTGTGTAGACTGTAGACTGTTCAATTCTGTTCAGAATTTCAATTTGGAGAAATATATAACAATTTTCAAATTAATTAATTCTTTGTGTAGACTGTAGACTGTTCAATTCTGTTCAGAATTTCAATTTGGAGAAATATATATTTAAAACCCCAGCCATACGGTCGTAAAAAAGGACCGCTAATTAATTTGTTTTTCTATGAATAATGACAAATAAATTGCTAGGTTTACGATCAGTCTTATTAAAGAACGTGCCCAGCAAGTCTATAAACCGAATTACAAGACATAGGGATATGACGTCCTAAAACCCCACAATTACTCCTACTGAGGTAGTCATATTTAGACCAGAAAGACGAGGTTCATGATGCTGCTCATGAACTGGGTTATCAGGTTTCTAATGTCTCTGCAGGGGTCCCTTGTGTGTGTCCATATTGTTGTCCGTGGGTCGCCACATGTGTTTCTCCGGCAGCTGTTTTAAAGCTGTTCTCCATCTATCCTTGCACTCGTCCTATATTTACTTTCAGAGGACGTAATAAGGGCGTCCTCAAAAAATTGTTTATGACGTTCTGACTGGTTCTTCACAGTCGCTGTTAGTTCAGGGCCTATACAGGCCCCCCCCCCAAAAAAAAATCTCTTTAGTAGGTCGTCCTGAAGAAGCATTATTAGGTCTTCCTGACTGGTTCTTCACAAGACGCTGTCAAGTCGGGCGTACACAGGGCCCCCCACCCCGAAAAAAAATCTTTGAAAGGGGGCACTTGGAAATTTCCCCCTCCAAAAAAGTTTTTTTTTAAGGAAACCTGTGAATGCCCTGACTTCACAGCAACTTGTGAAGAAACAGTCAGGATGTCCTAAAGATGCTTCTTGAGGACGACCCCAGTGTTGCCATCTTAACAAAAAATTTAATAATCAAAAAATTTATCTTTAAACACATCATTTAGTAATTAAATATAATGTAGAATAATTGTTCTGCAATCCTCCTGGTTCCCCAGCCACCGAGCACTTCTAAATAATTCTAAATAATCATTAAATAAGTCAATCTTTCTACTTAAACATCTATAAAAAATTGTAAATTGTAAAAATGTTCAGAGGTGTTCTTTTACTTTAGAAAAAATATATTCCAAATACAGCATTTTCACAGCTTGAAAAATCAAGTCCACCTGAAAGACTTTACTGTCTTAAAATATGTGACAGCATATAGAAGGGGGGGGGAATAAGATTTTTTCTTTAGAAGGGGAAGCCTGGGAAAGTTGTAAAACTTACATAGTCTTGGTGTCATGTCTTAGTAAGACGACTTACACATGTGAAATATGATACCGTCATAAAAGTAAGTATCATCTTGGTGTCGTGTCTTGGAAAGACCTCTAACATATGTGGATCAAATATTGGGAGTAACAGGCTAAAATGGGGATGGGGGAACAATTCTTTTTTTTTGACTTGACACAAGACGTGGGGGATAACAGAGAACAGGCCTGAAAAAGGGGACGGGGAGCAGGATATCCAAATATTTTAATATTTATATCTCATATTACAAGATATTTGATGAAATTTTATATTATTTGGAAAATTGAGGGTCTTTGGGATGCTTCAATCTCATCCAAGACGCTCCCGTTCTTGCTGGGTGGCTCGCCTTATCTGCAAGGGTTAAATATCTGTTTCTAGGATTAGTGTTCCCGCGGGAAGAACATTTTCGCGCAATTCTGTGCAAACTTGTTGTAAATCCCTTATTGTTTAAAGCTCGTAATTCTGCACTACTCATTTTACGGAAACAAGCGCAAAAAATGAGTAACTTTACGCGCAAAACTTTTTTATATGTAGTGCGAACTCTGCTATATATTTTTAATGGGGAAAATGCCTATTGTTACATGAATTAGACTTTGAACATGCAGTTTTTGCGCAGAATTGGCACAAATTTGTGTTTGCACATAATAATTTTTGTATAATTGTGACACAGTTTTATATCAATTTCTCGAGACACGAACACCAGATGGAACTAACTCTTATAGGTATCGAATAACTCCTAAAATGCTCAGGTTTCAGCCTATACCCCTTTTCATTTTTCCTTCACAGACCCTTTCATCTCTGTAAAAACTGAAGGCATATTTTTTACTACATAGATGCAAACCTGCAACAAACATTTAATTTTAATCAAAAATTCTGCGTTTGGATTTTTTATTATATACTAAATTTTTTAACTGGGATTTCAATTTTTATAGAAGCAAGTACATTTATACAAAAATATTTACAGTTTAAATATCTTTTGATTTATATATTTCATGTTGGATTAACTTAAATATGAAAAGTGCATGTTGAGGCTTATCTATAGGTTTCGTGAGACTCATGGCGTATATCCCTCCTTTACTCATCTTCCTGTACCTTGAAGTTCAGTAATCTGGTGTAGAGATAGCTTATACAATCTGAAGGTTTTATACTTTTTTATTAATCCATGTTCAACTGATTGATCCATACTTGTACAGTTAGGGGTCATACTAAAATGAGATTTTAATATCAAGGGTGTCCAAAGAAACATGACAGTTTAAAGATGACTCGAGAATCTACTTTGATCTTTGAAATCTTTTGCGGCATTCATTCGTTAACTTATTTTACTAGTTCCAAAGTGCTAAAGGGACAGACCGGCTATGTAAGGTAGTTAAACTTAGTATGCTGCGTTGTGGAGAAATTTTTTAGGATTCATTTGAGACATATAAAACTTTTAAAAGATCTGTAAATCCTGAGTTTGATCGCAAAGCCGACGTTCAAAATCTTACTTTTGGTTGGATATGTTTAGAATTGATTTTTTAAATTATTAAATAACGACGACAAAAAATGTAAACAAAATTCTAGAGTAAACTAATTAGTTGTTTAGAAACAGGTTGAGAAAATAAAAATTAATCTTATTATCGAAAATATGTAATCATTTTCAATTATTAGTTTCTTTAATCTCTGATTATTCAAAAATATTTCTGCAGATTTTCTGGAATTTTTTTTTGAAAAGACGACATTTCGAAGAAATCAGCGAACAAATTCATAGAAAATAAGAAATGTAATATAATGATGAAAACGAAATAATTGATTCTAACATTGATTTATTGACAAATTTCTTTTGAAAAATACGTTCCTAAGCATCTAATTAGTTTACTGTATAATTTTTTCTTTATTTTCGTCGTCGTCATTTTATAATTAAAAAACGTACCCACCCAAATTCATGATTTTGAACGTCCACTATGCGCTCAAACTCAGTGATTATACATCGTGGAAATGTTTTATATGTCTCAAATGAATCCTAAAGAATTTGTCCACAATACTGCAATACATAGCCGGTCTGACCCTTTAACACTCTTTTTTGATCTATCAAAATTACCGGAAAGTTGGGGTTTTGTTTAATATTTGGAAGAATCAAAGACGATATTCAAATCGCCTCTCAACTGTCATGTTTAGTATGTAGGACTCTGTAGTAATTTTATATAGATTAGTACGGACACAGTAAAACTAAATTCACATTCTTAGTAATACTAGCTATAAGTACCATACTGAGAAAGCAATGTATGGTTATTAGAGTTCTCTAGTTAGATCAGTTCACAGTAGCAGGCTATATCAACCATACAACTATATATAATTACATGAGTTTATGTTTATGTCCTTTATTTAAAAAAGTACATCCATCTGAAGATCTGGCAGAAACCATGCCCAGCAACAAAGAAAGATCGTACATCATGATTAAACCTGACGGGGTTCAGAGGGGGTTCATTGGACGGATCATCTCAAGGTTTGAAGATAAAGGATTTAAACTAGTTGGACTCAAGATGATGGTTGCAGATGAAGAACTGCTAAACCAACACTACGCCGAGCTTAAGGTGAGATTAAAACAATAAATTTTTAATTAAAATTAAAAATATTTTTTAAAAAAATTATACAAACATGTCTTAGACTTATAATTAGCATTAAACACCTTGCTAGTTGGAACAATTCTTTATTAAAGATGTATTTTACTGCCGTAAACTTACGCCTTCATCTAAACTAGAGACAAAGGGATTATATACGGTATTCCATTTGACCCTTATTTATGGATTTCGTACTATGGATTTTACTCTACAATCTCTTTAAAGTCTAAATTTGTATATTTAGGAGCGTCCATTCTTCCCTTCCTTGATGAACTATATCCGATCTGGTCCTGTTGTTGCTATGGCCTGGGAGGGCCATCAAGCTGTAGCTATCGGTCGACAAATGCTTGGAGCAACAAACCCAGCAAACTCCGCTCCTGGAACCATTCGAGGAGATTTCGGTCTTCAACCAGGACGGAATATCATTCATGGGAGTGATAGTATTGAGAACGGAGAACGTGAGGTGGCTCTATGGTTCAGTGGCGAAGAGCTGGTGGAGTGGGAACCAGCTCAGATAGCCTGGGTTAATGAAGATTAAAGTATACTCTGACACACTTAGAATTTAGAAAAAGGTCTGCACACAGGAGATTGAAATTGCATCACTGGAAGATCTTTAAGAAGAGTTTATTTGGCACTTATACACCTTGTAAACACGTTTTCCTGACCAATAACACTTATTGTATTGTATTCATATTTTAGAAATTTAAGATATTTGTTTTTTTTTCATGGCAAAAAACTAAACTTAAATCTTAAATACAATATATCTTAAACAAATAAATATTTCATCTTAAACAAATAGACTCATATTCTCCAACATACATAAATATCTTATCATATCTTATCTTATTACATATTTAAATTTTAAATTAGAATTCCAGGTTTATGACACATTTACTCTTGTAAGTTGTAATGTACGTTAATCATGATGAAAAATATATAAAATATATCCGCATTTGAAAGAAAAATGTTTATTGTTAAACTCCAGAATACGTTACTTTAAAGCAAACTGTCATTAATAGATTTGCATGTCAGATTCACACGTAGCCCGTTAATCTTTCCTAACAGAAAACAAGAAGAAAATATCCTTTTTTCTCTCTGAAAATTGATAATTTCCAATTCTGGTTTCTTTCCAGAGTAACCAGAAGATTTGTCTGTGTTCAGTGTTCATAACTTTTCAGAAAAAGAAACGACGATATCTTCCGCGTTAAAGCTCATTTAAAAGTTCGAACTGTACTTTTGTCGAATGACAAAAATACAGTTCGAACTGTACTTTTGTCGAATAACAAAAATACAGTTCGAACTGTACTTTTGTCGAATAACAAAAATACAGTTCGAGCTGAACTTTCGTCGAATGAATGACAAAAGTACAGTTCGAACTGTACTTTTGTAGAATGTCAGAAGTATCTTAAAGATATTGTCAGCGTACTTTCAAGTGGCCCTCCATGCAAAGATGATAATGCTCAATTTACAAGGGTACATTTAAAAGCTGTGTATGATTAAATATGAATTAGATATGGATGTTTTTGTTTCTTAAAACTGTTTCTTTTCATTTGTAGTTACCCTACAAAAGTGACTTGTGCATTTCTTGTCTATTAGAAACAACGGATGAATTAGCAGGAATAAACATTTTTCGAGTGAGAAAAATTACATTAATATCTTCAACATTTTTTATCACAATATGTTTTTAAGGGTATCGTTGTGAATCAGGGATGCCCGTTTTTAAATTAAAAGATCACATAAAATGACACTAACAGTCCCTTAAATGGGAATCACTTAAAATGACGTCATCTGTGCCTTTAAGCTTAAATTTATTTATATAAGCTGTGAGACTAGCTTTTTAAATAAAAAATGTTGTTGTTTTCTTTTAAAGTAACTCAAGTATTCAATCTTGCTTACTAGATATTAGATATATTAGGTCACGATTCTGGATTATCTTTACGAGGGGGGAGGGGGAGGGGGGGATGTTTATAAATCCTCTGTAGCGTAGTTTACTCAGAGTCCCCATGGAGAGAAGTAAGGTAGAAGATTTATTTTTCTCTCAGTCTTCTCTCCGAGTGTTCTCCTGTATACCCCGCTTAGTTGTGGGCAACCCAGGAGTAATAGGATAAGTTTTAATTTCGAGATTTGATTCTAAGCGAACCATATTCTTAATAACACACAGATCAGGGGTCAAAATTGATCCGTCTGTGCTAGTTTTACAGGAGGAGAAGGACGGATCAGAGGAGTGTTTAGAGTACCAGGTATAGATGGACGGATCAGAGGAGTGTTTAGAGTACCAGGTATAGATGGACGGGTAGGAGTGTATAGAGTACCAGGTATAGATGGACGGGTAGGAGTGTATAGAGTACCAGGTATAGATGATAATGTTCATGACAGAGTCTAAGTCACAACTCTAAGTCGCTATTCTTAGTCAAAATGTTTGTTGCTTCATCAAAAATATACATTCCAAACCAATGTTATTTCTGGTATAGAAGGCCAGACGGACAGGAGTGTAGGGTACCAGGTATAGAAGGGTAGAAAGAACGAAACAAATAAAAAATAAAAATGGATAGAATTGAATACGAAGTAAGACATATTTTGATACAAAAGAGAAAATTTCAGGGTTTACTATTTCTATTCAGCGAATGAAAAAAAAATCAAAGGATGATGTCATATGTGGAACATTTAGCCTTAAAGAAATAAATACATTTTAGGTTCAGATTGTAGTCAGTCCGATAGCGGAGATCGCGGGAAATATTTCCTCAGGACAAATCAGCCTGATAAACGGGAGACCAGGTAATACACTAAAGGGACAGCAGATATAAAGTTAAACTCAGCTTTGTGAAAGAGTGTCGAGGTTAAAGAATTCTAAGGAAAAATAAGATTTATAAAAAGGAGTTCTGTTAATAATCAGCTAGCTTGAAAGCGAGCTCTTGGACTAAAATCAGCTTAGAAAACGGAAGTCCGGCTTAACATCATCTTGAAAAACTATTGTTTTAGTATCAGGAATCGAATTAACTCGTTTTTTCTTATTTTGAATCATCAGTTCTTCGATTGTGAAGATTTTAATTCGGAGTGAGAATTGGATTTGGAGATTTTGGTTTCATGCTTTTGCGGTATAAGAAAATGAGATTTGCGCAGCGAACCAATAAATCTTGTTTATTTCCGAAGTCAAACATTATAGCAACCGTACGTATAGAAACCGCTAGGTATAGCCAGTGTTATAATGCAAGGAAAGTTATTTCAGATGTCGAAGCCTGACATTGAATCCATCTGCACATAAAAAGTCAATTAAATATTATGGACATATGAAACTTTTGTGTGAATTATCAAAATTATCAAAATTTAATATGTTTTTAAGTTGTTTATACTCTGGGCATATATTGAAACCAGTTCTCTCTGGGCGGAATTAGTAAACAAGAATAGATGCATCAGTGTTCGTTAAGAACCGAGGAGGATAAAAGCATTGAATTTTGAAAATTTTGATGATTCAAATAATAGTTTCGTATGACCAGAATATTACATTAATTTTTTATATGAAAGATGGATCCCATGTCAGGCTGTGACATCCGTCTTGAGTTTACATTACCACTCAGAGACAGTACACTGCAGTACAAAAGATGTGTACACTTCTAAAATAAATTTCCTTGCATTATTACCTTGAACCAATGTATGTTTATTTCTTGATCTCCGGTGTGGTAGATTACAATTCTGAAGTTGTATCAAGGTCGCAAAGGAAAATCATTAATTGATCATAAAATCAACCTGTTCCTTTTCTTGAGATTGTTTAGTTTAAGAAAACCACTAAGAATACTAGAAAATATTAAAATCAATATTTAAGTGAAGGGTCTCTCATTAATAATTTGATAATCCGTTTTGCATTGTTTAATTTTTAGCAGAGAACGAAGCAAAGCTACTTTCTTCTTTAAAACGAGGTCAGCTTCAATCCATGGTCAGCTTGTTTAAATGGGAGCCCCAAAAACTGTGACACAGTAAGACTAAAGGAAATCTAAAATTACTATTTTAAATAGTCGAGAGAGTCGAGTGAACATAAAACACAACAATTGTACAATATTTGCATTGATCCATTTCATTTAATAATTTTGTTTTCAACCTTCTGTTAAAACTAAAATGTCGTCTTCCAGTTTGCAGTTTTATGGGTCTCGCTGTTTAATTGTTTATACACTTGTTTAAACTTGTTTATACGTGTTTATCAATATTTATAAAAAGTCTGTTGAATCTCAAACCAATACTTATATATTTAGGAAATCGCTCTCTCTCGAAATCAAGATCGCGAAGTCCAAATAGATCGGACACGACAGGTAAACTTTTATCCTTTTGTCATGACACAATTTTTTGATTGAAAAAAAAGCAAACCCTTTTTACAGGGACTGTCACGTAATGTTAAGTAACTTTCCACGCAAAGATGAAAATATGCCCGATTTACAACGGTACCCTTTAAATCCCTAATCTAATCAAAACTGTAGAAGATAAAACTGTTTTTCTCAATCTTATAGTAGCTATTTCTTTTAATTTATTCTTGTTTCAATTATAAGCAAGAAAAGCGCAAGTCACTTTCGCAGAAAATCCACAACTGAAAAAAAAAAATTTAAAGAAAAAAAACATGTATTTCAGGCATTGTCATCTTTGTAATGAGGGTCACATAACAACATTTGCTGGAGCACCCGAGCAAAATTCATCTTAATAGCATTGATAGTTCTAAAAAAATTTTAAATAAAAGTTATCATTCATCAACATTTGACGAGTGATGCTACTACTTACTAGGTTGAATTTGGCTCCGGAGCTCGAACAAATTTTTTTAGATGAAAATTTTACATTTCTACGAGTGCTGGAGAAATAATGGATTATTAAAAAGTAATGAAAATACATGAATCCATAACAAACGAAATATTAGAAAAAATTGTATAGTATACTTCGAAGATATTTTGAAAATATCTACTCAAATTTTCTAATGGTTTGTCGAATTTCAAAATTTATAATTATTCTTCAGCTCATAACAGATTCCATTACAACTGCTGTTCTGCAAACAAGGGACCTTCCAGGGAGGAGATTAAGGTTAATAATAATAATAATAATAATATTTATAATAATAATAATTTTATTTTGCAATTCGACGAAAAGAATGAGTTAGTACAAATACAAATGTTTTATTTTAAAAAAATTTCAGAAAAAGAATTTACAATCTACGTCAATGTGTTATGTTCAACATTGTTTACATGGAAATCTTAAAACAAAAGCATCATTGCAAATTTCAATTTGAATTATTTTTCTTTTTTACAAAAGGATTAATATTTAACAACGAAGGAAAAAATTCTAAAAATTCCAAATTCAGGCAACCTCATTCCAAATTGTTCTAAAGGAATTGAGTCTTTGCCACAAACTCTGTTTTTTAAATCCTTATATCTTAACAACCCAATGTTGTAGACTTTAGATATTTCAAACTATCACTTTTGTTATATCAAACAATTAAAGTTTAAAATATCAAAGGTTTACATAATTTGGTTGTAGATGTATAGGTATTAGAAAATTGGGATTTGTTGCAAAGACTCAATTCCTTTGTTAAAGTAAAATTTGCCTTTAAATGTTATTTTTCTTCGATTTTTCTAAAAATTCAATCAGATTTTTTTATATTCAGAATCAAAGCTTTAGAACTGATAAGAGTCGCCTCAGACTCTTTAGACTGAATTAAATTTTCAAAAGCATGTTAAATAAGACCATTATTATAGTTTCAAAACTAAATTTAATTTGAGAAAATGTTATTTATTTAGGCCTTGAGTTCGATGAATGCTGAACGTATGCGCTCTAAGTCTCGAAGCGGAAACACTTCCGGATCAAGAACGGAACTCAGGGTTTCCAGTAAGTAAATTCTTATTGTATGGACTAACACTCAATTCACGACTTTCTTGAGATTACTCCAAGTACAAAAAGCTACAGTATAAAGTACAAAGAATATTTTTTTTTTAAATAAGAAAAAAAATTCTGAAAATTTGAGCACTGGCGTTATCTATGCTCATTAATCAATCAATCAACACTGTTTAGGTAGTTTAGATAATAATATTAAAGTTTTAAACAGAACTTTCAAAATATGTTTTTCTGAAACTATTGTGTACTTTATCATTCTTTCTCACTTCATCAAGAATTTCGTAACGAACGTGCTATAAAGTAATAATCGTGCTAAAATGTTAAATCAGCTTTAAATTATAGAACGTTTGCTATAACGTTTTGATTGGTTCCCGGATTTTCTCAAAAAATTTAGGATATTTTCAAGTGAAATGAAAATAAAATTGAAATGAAGTTTATTTTTTGTTGACTTCTGCTTTGATCTAGAAATAGCCATTGAAATAAGACAAGTACATAAACGTTTAAAAAAATTACCTATAGCACTATTATTATCATAAAGATTTATTCACACACAAAGATATAAATACATAGATAAATGGTGTAGTTTAAATTTGTTTAAATAAATTTTTGAAAATACAGGTTTCCAAAAGAAAAGAGAAAAATATGCAAAATTATGCACAAATAGACAACATTGATTTTTACTCACTACATAACATATTTATCATTTCAGTTATTACGTAATCATCGAATCCTTCAACATATAAATTATTCATTCTTGTACTTAAAAGTTCTTGTAAAACCGGAACTTCCCATGCATGTTCCAATGGGACATCAAAATATTTCATTTGTTTCTTAACTAACATTTTACTAAGATCCAAAGGATTTACAGAACAGTCATTTGCAACAGTAAATAAATTTCTACCAAGAATTGTGTTAAGGTCATTTTTACATAAATTAGAAAGACATCTAATGCATTATTATTTTGTCACGACGTACTATTATGTTTTTCGACTTAAATTTACTCTAAACCTCGAAGGTTCTCCTTTTCAGATTATATTTTGTCCCTCGTTAAAGCTAGGGACAAAATTAAATCTAAAAAGGCTTAGAACTTTCTCAATAAAGGGAAAATTTCTGTCCAAACTTTATAACACTGCGAACCAAAATAACACTGTTATAAATAATTATTAAAATGAATATTTTTTATCATCAACTTTTCAAGATAACTTTTTATGATTTAGGAGCCAATCTTCCAAGTATTGGAAAGCGCCAAGAAGCAGGTATTTAAAGAGATTATATAAGCGTAATTTCAAGTAAACCTCCATTTAAAGAGGGCATTGTACGATTAACAACGTTACCCTTAAAACCTTTGTATGTTTGTTGAGTACAGTGATGTGTGAGTGTAAGCTTATCGAAACCCACTCGCCTTATATTCAGCTGTGTACAGTTTGCGCTGTGTACAATGCATATTCTGAACACATCAAACACCGGAATTTGCAGCTGAAACCACGCGTGTTTCAATAAGTTTACGCACACATAACTCTTTACTCGACGAACAGAAAAAGGTTTCAAGGCTACCGTTACAAATCTGACATTGCTCTCTTTGCATGGAGGGTCACTTACAGTCCCTTCTAAAAAATTTTAAAAGTTTGTATATAATCAAATAATAAAAAAAGATATTCATTATATATAAAATAAAGATTTTATTTACGTCATTTTACGTTATTAGTTCATGGATGATTAAAAAAGAAATTTTAATGGCTTTCAAAGTTTTTTTGTCATATTATAAATTAACAAGCAAAATTTGATAAAGTGTTTAGGAAAGAATTGAATGAAAAAAAATCACACAAGGAAAAAAATATTTTATATTTTATATTTTATATTTATCTATAATTTTGATACAAATATGAAATATCAACTATATACGAATGTGCCAAAAAATTATCAATGAATATTGTTTGTAATATCTGAATGATTTGTTTGGAATTAAATTGATTTGTTTATGATCCGAGTTTTGAATGTTTAAAAACGTTTCCAAAATCGCCTGACAGTGGAATGCAGGGTAAAGCCAGTGATAATAATTGTTTACAGAAGTTTCATTGAACAGTTAAAGGTAGTGTTCGCGAAAAATGAAAGGGGGTATAGGCTTAATGCGATAAAAAAGCGCTTTTGATCGCTACTAATCTTTCTTCTAGCTGTTGCGTCTATAAGGAGAAAATTGGTAAAAACGACAAATACCGAAGAACGTAGTGTCCATACAAATTCAGAAAGATGCAACATACGACTTAGACCGTAAAAAAAATCTATTTAATTTCAAACAAATCATTCAGATATTACAACCTATAGTCATCGATTATCTTTCGCCACATTTGTATATAGTTGATTTTTCATAATATGTTTTGATTTTATTTTTTAAGATAATATTTAGCTTACAACTTGTTTTTGAACATTCCTGGAAAATATCAAAATGTCGTCTTCATTACCAAAAATCCTCGAAACATGAATAAATGTTTTTATAACTAACTCTCAGATCATAACAATTAAAACATATTATGAAAAACCAACTATATACAAATGTGGCAAAAGATAATCGATGACTATAGGTTGTAATATCTGAATGATTTGTTTGAAATTAAATAGATTTTTTTACGGTCTAAGTCGTATGTTGCATCTTTCTGAATTTGTATGGACACTACGTTCTTCGGTATTTGTCGTTTTTAACAATTTTCTCCTTATAGACGCAACAGATAGAAGTAAGATTAGTAGCGATCAAAAGCGCTTTTTATCACAATAAGCCTATACCCCCTTTCATTTTTCGCGAACACTCCCTTTAACATTAAATATTTCTTTCAAAGGATATACTTCAGATAGGAAAGAACTGATCACCGATAGTTGAAATAAATGTTTGTGAAACTAGTGTGTACTTTATCATTCTTCCTCACTTCATGGTGAATTTTATTTGAACGTGCTTAAAATAATCATCATGCTATAAAGCTAAATTAGTTGCACATTATACCACGTTTGCTATAAAGTTATGATTGGTTCCCGGATTTTCTCCGAACAAATTAGGTTATTTGCAAAATATTTTTTCAATAGAAATGAAAATAAAATTGCAATTAACTATTTATTTAATTATATATTTATTTCTGCGTTCTTAAAAATTATATTTCATCTAGAAATAGTCATTGCAATAAGACAAGTACACAAACCTATAACACAATATTATTTTGGAACGACGTGCATTAAAGTTGTTTAACTTAAATGTTCTCTATATCCAGGCGCGCAGCTAGACATTTGGTTAGGGNCAAGACGTGCTATGTTTTTGGACTTAAATTTACTCTATATCTCGAAGGTTCTCGCCTTTTAGATTATAAAAAGGCGCGAACCTTCTCAATAAAGAGAAAGTTTATTTCCAAAAATGTTATAACATTGCGAACCAAAATAATGGTGCTATAAATAGTTATTATCATGATTTAAATCATATTTTATTTTCTCTATCTTTAATTTACGTCATCTTATTACATCTAAATGCTTAAGACAGCAAAAATAAAAAATCAATATAGATTATCGAAATAACGTTTTTATATTAAATCTCATTTACGCTAAACAGGTTTTTTTTTTTTTTTTTTGGGGGGGGGTCTGTTTGTGTTTTATTTTAGATAAAATAAAATTAAAATTGAAAATGCTCAACCTTTAAAAAATCTGAAAAAATATTATAACAATGTTTTCGGTGTTTCTTGAAACATTCCAACTTTCTAGACATGACACCGCAACAGTTTACAGAACTTCTCTCTTCTAACTCTGATCTATTGGAACAATACGTTATAGAGCACGTAGATTTAGGTAATCAAGTGTATTTTTGATATTTTAAATAGTGCCAAAATAATTGAAAATAATAACAAATTTAAGTCCATCTTAGAATGTACATATCTATATTCAGAGGCCGAATATAAAGAATTTGAGCCGCGGCTCAAATATGGTCGGTTTCACTTAAAATTGTATTCAATGTTTCAAAATTTAAGCCTGCGCTCAATGAAAACCGGTTTCTAGCGGATTTTAGACACGGCGCAAATTCATTAAATTCGACTCTGGTACATTAGTTGATAGCATGCTTTGATTTAGAAACGCTTGAAAAATGGACGAAACGACGGGCACGTAAAAGCCAGAAGCAGCCTAGGATATCCACACGGAAAACTAAACTAGGAATGTGGAAGGTAAGGATATCCACACGGAAAACTAAACTAGGAATGTGGAAGGTAAGGATATCCACACGGAAAACTAAACTAAGAATGTGGAAGGTAAGGATATCCACACGGAAAACTAAACTAGGAATGTGGAAGGTATGGATATCCACACGGAAAACTAAACTAGGAATGTGGAAGGTAAAGCTATTTACACGGAAAACTAAACTAGGAATGTGGAAGGTAAAGATATTTACACGGAAAACTAAACTAGGAATGTTGAAGGTAAGGATATCCACACGGAAAGCTAAACTAGGAATGTGGAAGGTAAGGATATCCTCACGGAAAACTAAACTAGGAATGTTGAAGGAAAGAATATCCACAAGGAAAACTAAACTGTAGGAATATATGGAAGGTAAGAATATAATAAGATGCAAGGAAATTCAGTAGCAAAACTAAACTAAAGAATTTTAACTTTGTGATCATCTTTAAATTTGAATTATTATTTTCATATTCATTCTTTTATGCTTTTTATTTCATATGAGCTTTTTCCATAACCTAAGCATATAAATTTTTTTTATTGGATGGTTTTTCTATTTTCATCATCTGAAAGAAAAAGATGATAAGGTTTCTAGGAAGATAATCTTTTTAATTTAATATTTTTTTGATATAGTATTCTGTGGAGGCTAACAAAAAGAATATGTTAGATGAAATGACAAGGTTGTTACAGGGAGCTACTAATAAAGGTATAAAAACTATACTAGAGAATCCCGATGTTAAAAAGTTCTTAATCATCTCAGAATTATCTCTAGTACAGGGTGTCCCAAAAAACATGGGAATTCAGTGACGAATTCGAAATCGTCTTTGTATGAATTAGCAATGTAATACCTAATTTCAAAAGCCATAATATTATTATGTATGCTAGAGTTTATTTTCTGAAAAGGGTAAAAGACTGCAAAGATGTGTCTATAATGTCTCCACAAGATGAACAGTGAAGACGGACAAGTTTACACTGTATACTGTTATTTTCTTGTTTTACTAAGTACAACTGTATGCAGTCAAAACATAAACAAACAAAATGTGAACATAGTAGACGAAACTCTTACAGATTACAGCTTTCTCAGAAGGTATCATTATACTAAATCAAATAATTATTTGAAAAGACGATACCGAATTCGTCACTGAAGCTCCCACCACGCGGCCCGGGATATAGGATATCCGAAAGAAATTAAGTTTTGACAATAATTGCTTTCCAGAAATAAGTGCTTGATCCAGGGATATAACACAAAAGTTATGAAAATTATGCATTAGTTTGTGAGATCAGGCAAATTTTAAAGGTTTACCAGGCTTATTTCCTTTCACCTATCTACAAAACTATACTTCTACTATTTTTTAGACAGAGAACATGAAAGTTTTAAAACTGCAAAATGCTTTCCTTGTATCTTATTTCAAAGTATTTGGCAGAATCCTAATAAATATTTTTCAGCCATGGCATGCATATTTTAGTATTTATAATATTATACAGTGGTAGGCGATTATATCAATACAACGAAGACGACTTTCGATTTCAATTTTGGTTTAAACCAAGCTGTTAAACAGCATGGAAACATAGAAGTCAAGAGAAGCTATCAATTAAAAAGCTTCTCTTTGATTATATGTAAACTTGTAGTTCGAAAAGCTTAAATAACTTAAATAAAAAAGTCGTCTTCATTGTATTAATATTATAGCCTATCACTGTAATTTTTTGCCAGAATTCTAAAACTGTTTCTTTCTCCACAAAATGATTAGAATTATAAAAGTTACAATTAAAAGAAATGTGCAGCGTCCTTCCTTTATATTTATCAAGCAAATTCATTTTTTTCTATAATTTTTGTATTTTCAACACTAAGATGTTAATATCTTTTTTAGCTCAGATCATGTGGGAACTAGCAAATTGTATCAGGTGAGAAATCTATATCTATATACATAATATCCATAGACACAGTGTTTCGTCCTATAAGGACTCATCAGTATGGCTCTATTTATCAGATTTTTGATTTTGCAGTTGACGGGGCTTGAACCATGAATCCTTAGATTATGAATCAAACACTCTAACCACTGCTCCATCAAATCCTGATGATTGGGTTATGACATATACATAATTGGTCCCAAATTTTGACTGAAGAACTCAGCATTAAAAAAATAATGTTGTATACATATTTATATTTAATATCATACATATAATACATATAATAAACATGGGAATTACCATATAAAATATCAAGTACAATAGGTGGCAACAGAGAAATGGACCAAATATACACGACGTCACAAGTGTCAAATATAAAAAGGAAACCAATTTTTTTAAACTTTGGTTATCATGTTTTCCAAGATTCAATAAAAAAGTTTAAAAACAGAAAATAAAGAACACATTAAATTTCACTTATTTTACTGTAAGATAAGCACTTTATTTTAAATTAATCACTATTATTAATAATTGTGTCGAACACAAAACTGAATTGACACTTGTGACGTCAGAATACAGCTGTACTGAGAGTGTACAAATTCTACGTTGCCATTTATTGTACTAGAATCTATTTGGGAATTACTATATCGTCTTTTTTCACGTGGCATAATTACGTGCACGCAATTCAGCAGTGTATAGTATAGCATCCCAGTTAAAACAATGAAGGTAAAATTTTCAGACTCAGGAATTCCAAAATGTGGTCTACCAATTTTGCACAATCAAATCTGATTTTAATTGATGTAATATCAACAATGTTTGATATCTATGTTTATTTTGAAGACACACCTACAGAAGGCAGGCAACATTTTGAAAAGCTCACTAATCATACAATCTTTTTATGGTACACTTTTTGTCATTTATCAATTATCGGATGATTTTAATGTCGTCTCTGTATTCCCATGTTTATTGGGACACCAGCTGTATTATATTTAGACATAATATTAAACATCATTATATATATGACGCAGTATTAAAATATAATGATAATATATATTCCTTTTTTTAATTTAATACGAATCAGTGATGTTATGATCAGCCTAAAGTTCACCTGCATTACGATCATAAATTCGTAGAAGTGTAAAATTATAAATGTTAATAAAAGATGTTAACGTCATTGGAAAATTATTTTAAACTTATTAATGATAATATTGAGAAACATTCATAATGTCACAATTGTAATAAGCAATATTAAATTTTATTATTTAATGGGACTTAACACGTAATTCCCTCTGGTCTTTCAATGAAGAACTACGTTCACCCGATTCACGCCATAATTATTAAAATATTAATCGGAGCAACACAAATTATAAATGTCTTCAAAGAAATACATTTTATTATCATTTGTTTATTTCACTTCAGCATAAATCCAAGTGATTTCAAAGAGAACTCTCAAATCTATGCCGAAAACAAAAAGGATATGCAATTTGTTTAAAAGCTGCCTTTCGGAAACGGAAAGTAGATTTGTAGTTTATTTCAAAACCATGAATCTCCACAATTTAATTATCATAAATCATATTCATAATTTCCTTTTCAAAATAAAAATTATGGAAGTTAATTTTCATTCATTTTAGACTTTTTCATTTTAAAACGTATTCGCCAACAAAAAGGCATATACAAGAAAAAGCAAAAAAAATGTCGTTAATGGTAAAATTCACTCTGGGCCGTAGTAAATTTGAATTCGAACTTACCTGTCCAGTTTGTACCGGCCTGCCAGATAACAGCGTGTACTGACCCGATCCTATGGTAGCCCGGTTCTGTAAAGTACGTCGCCCTAACCATACTAACATACGACAGGGGTCAATTTTCTTGGCATAGTTCCGTCGGAGGGCTAACAATGACAACTCCCATAGCGCGTTCAGACTTTTTACAGTACCCGGCCTAATCCCAGGCCTATTTGACCGACCCCACTGGCTTAGTACACCGTGAATTGTAAAACAAACTGGCTTAGTACACCGTGAATTGTAATCAAAAGTCGTAGTTGGTTGGGATAAAAACTGAACTGTTTAATCATCGTGCATTATTAGACAATTATGATTTTTAGGATTTTTATTTATAGTTCAGCCGTGGAGGCGGATCATTTTCATCTCTACTTAGTGGAAACAGAAGGAGAAATTACGCAGTTTCATCCGAAAAATTCCAGGTTCAAATAATTGTTTAGCATTTACTAAAATATAAACAAAATAAAAAGAACTTTTACACAAGTCTCAAAACTACTTTCGTTTGGAACCTGAGTCCAAATTTAATGAATCTTCAAATTGGTGCATATAATTTGAATTTTTCAATAAATCTCTGAGAGACCTAAATAGTACCTGATATATAAAATAATGATTTTGTTTTGTTAAAGCGGGGAAAAGCAAAAAATTCGATCTGGAACTACCTTGGCCGCCTACTGTGCTAAGGTTAGTAAATTTAGATGGATTAATTTGAAAATTAAAATGAAATACAATTGATTTTAAAATATTTTCGCACGTTTTGTGGAGAAGCAAAAAGTAACTTAAAGGGACTGTAAACGTAATTAAAAGTGACCCTTTGTCTGAGCAAGTATTAAATGAGGTAAATATCAATATTTATAATTTTGCAAACAGATCATTTTTAATATATAACATAGAAACGTAGGAATTATCAGAACTAAACACATTTCAAGCTAGAAAACCCACAACATTATCACATTATCTGCAGATAAAAGTGTCAAGGGTTCCGTTGTGAATCGGACATTGCCATCTTCGTATGGAAGTTCAGTTTAAATTACACTTAAAGTCTCTTTAGGCACACTAATACGAATACTTAGAAAGTATCTAACATTTTGGCTCTCTGAGACATCTTAAATTTATATTTGAGTTCTTAAATCTAGAAAAATATCTTTTTAACATATTTTTCAAAGGTGAAGGATGTTGTCAGGGCCAATACAGGGTCTTCAGATCCAAGGTTTCCGAAGGGAGTTCCAGATATCAAGGGATCAGCTAAGGTTAATATACAAGGAGTACTGGATAGTGGATACTGTCATACTGTCTTGTGAATCCTGTCAATATCTAGGCTGTCTGCCATATCCAGTCTATAGCTAGGTTGTCTGCTATCCTGTCTATATCTAGGTGGTCTGCTATCCTGTCTATATCTAGGTTGTGTACTATCCTGTCCATATCTCGGTTGTCTGCTATCCTGTCTATAGCTAGGTTGTCTGCTATCCTGTCTATATCTAGGTTGTCTGCTATCCTGTCTATATCTAGGTTGTCTGCTATCCTGTCTATATCTAGGTTGTCTGCTATCCTGTCTATATCTAGGCTGTCTACTATCCTGTCTATATCTAGGTTGTGTGCTATCCTGTCTATATCTAGGTTGTGTGCTATCCTGTTTGCTCTGAAACTGAGGATCTTGAAGCTGTTCTTGAGTTTGTGAGAAAGAAGGGGAATAATTTTACTGAAGAAGATATCGAGGAAACTTTATTCTTCTAACAATCTTACTCATATAATTTGGATTGCTTAATCTCGAAAATGGAGAAATCTTTTTTTCTCTCTGAAAATTAAGAATTAAATAATTTGACAAAAATAATTGTATTTTACGGAATTTAAAAATGGAAAAGAAATCCTGTTTCTGCTTTTTTACAGAACATATATTGTCTTGCACCCCCCATTTACTTTTTGAAAAATATGTCCTCAATTCGACGTTATAGTTGCATTTAATAAATAGGTTCAGCAGTTTAAAGTTTAAAGTGGTCTCGATATTGAAACAATTGCAGTTTATGCATAAATATAAAGAAAAATTAAAAATAGAAATACTAAGTAACGAATACAGAAGTAAAAATTTTAAATGTAAAATTGAAATTTTTAAAAAATCTGCAATTTTCCATCTTGAAAATTCGCAATCTCCCTCAATCTGAGGATAGATGGGAGGAAGTAAACCATAGTAAAATCTTCTAATTAGAATCCACCAAAATTTCAACTGCACCCCACGACTGACGGATTTCCCGAGGTTTTAGCGCCTCGTGTCTGGCAACAAATTGCGTGCTTTGAAGTGTTCAGCGTTTGGTTGTTTACACTATACACAGTGTTAATTAAAAAGGATGACGTTTGTATTGCCCGATCTTTGTTTCGTCCGACGCTTGGGCCGACATTTGTATAGTAAGAGAGCCAAGAGAAATTATGAGAGCATGGATTAAAATCTATTTACACTACAGTAGAACCCAATAAAAAATGGAATTTGAAGATATTATTTGAACCAAACAAAAAAGAAATCAATAGAGTAACAAAGCAAAAATGTATCATTTCATAAACTTTAAAAGTTTAAGAAATGTTTGAAGGATAGAGTTTGGTTAGGTTGTAAACAGTTATCTGGTGTGGGGTGGAGTTACAATACACTTTGCAGATCTGTACTCTAGGGTTCAACATCAGAAATCTTTAAACGATTTTCTTCTTTCTGTTGTCAAGTAAGTTTTTATAAATATTTTTTATTGTGTTTCGAAATTTTTAATGGAATTAACGAGTTTAGCTAGCATTGTCTCTTCGCAAGGGAGGCCAAAGTTAGATTTAGTTTCAAGTAAGAAAAAGTTAAACTACAATTCTCTTTATTCATTAAATCAGAACTCTGTTTAAGGTAAAACTTGAACCCCTATTGGAGATTCTGCTTTTTTGATCAATTCCGTTTCGGCTCCGGTCTCCATGTAAAGACTTTTTTAATATCTAGCTTGGAATTGTTAGATAGTAAACTGGACTATTTTTGACGTAGAATATGTGGAAGTGGAGAACAAAGAGATAATTACTTTCGTTCTCTCAATTGTATTTATTTTGGTTAAATCTGAAATAATATTTTCTAGATCTATTTTCCAAGAAATGATAAGCATGGACACTCTAATCATTCAAATCATGAACCAGGCACAAAAATTAGGTAAAAAATTTACATTTCATTCATTTGTTTTCTTACTTTGTTAAAATTCCGTATTTTTCATTTTCAGATAACAGATATATTATCTAATTCTATATATTATATTCTATATTTGACAATTTTTTTACGCAGTTGACGCAGATCGAGCCTCACTCTTTCTTGTTGACGCAAAAACTAATCAACTGTACGCAAGGTAAAATAATTTAAACGAATATTATATTCATTAACCTATTTATTCATTCTTTTCTAGAATATTCGAGTTGTCCTTTAAACCATCTTTTATATTATATTATGTATCCTGTAAAAAATCTATTCTAGAATTTTCGATGTATCCAGTAAACAATTTACTCTAATATATTCGACGTATCCTGTAAACCATCTATTCTATTCTATTCAATGCATCATGTAAACAATTTATTTTATTATATTGATGTTTTCGATGATATTCAAATCAATCTTCGAAACCATGTTATCTAGGATATTTAATGTATCCTGTAAACAATCTATTCTAGAATATTCGATGTATCCTGTAGAGAATCTATTCTATAATATTCGATGTACCTGTAGAGAATCTATTCTATATTATTCGATGTATCCTGTAAACAATCTATTCTATAATATTCGATGTATCCTGTAAACAATCTATTCTAGAATATTCGATGTATCCTGTAAACAATCTATTCTAGAATATTTGATGTATCGAGTGATATAATCGAAGATGGCCAAGTAGAACAATCAACAAAAGAAATCAGGTTTTTTTAAATTCTTTAAAAATTATCATCTTAATATTCTTAGTTTTACTTTAACCAAAGATAAAAAATAAATTTTTAATATTTTTATAACAGAGCATAATTGATTAATCCTATGCTTAGAAAATTTAATTGAATTATTTATTCAGAAATCATAAATAGAAAATAATTTTCATCTTACTAAGGGTTCTTCGTTAATTAAACCATTTTTATTTAAAAATTAAATCCATAGATTATCTGAAAACTAATTTTAAGAGTTTTGCAAATTTGTATTTTCCTTTTCAGAATTTTTAAAAATTAAACCAATGCAATGGGGTACTTGAAAAAATAATTTATTGGGAGCTCTAATAGTACCTTTTTAACAAATATTTTATGTAGTCATAAAATGATTTTAAAAAGTCGGTATTTTTTTATAACTGCATATATACAAAACTTTTCCATACTTTATGTTAAATAATTTTAATGGAAAATAATTGATTTGAAACATGTAAACATCTGTTTGGTTCACCAACATAGGGTCAAACCAAATAGATTATCAAGTACAATAGGTGGCAACAGAGAAATGAATCAATTATACACGACGTCAAATAGTGTCAAATATAACAAAGAAAACGAAATTTTCTCACATTATTTGACATGTTTTTCAAGATTAAATAAGAAAGTGTAAAACAGAAAATAAATAACACATAAAATTGCACTTTTTTCACCGTAAGATAAGCTCTTTATTCTAAAATTATCACTATTATTAATATTTTTGTTGGACACAAAAACTGAGTTGACACTTGTGACACTTGTAAGAATACAGCTGTACTGAGAGTGTACAAATACTACGTTGCCATCTATTGTACTTAACAATCTATTTGGGGTCAAACGACTTAGGGTCAAACAACCTAGGGTCAAACGACATAGGGTCAAACAACCCAGGATCAAACGACATAGGGTCAAACGACAAACGGTCAAAAAAGCGACAAAGGGTAAAACTACGAAGGGTCAAAATGGAAAAATATATTCTATGTAAAAATTCAAATAAAAATTTAAGAAAAAAGGAATCTTTAAATTTTCAATGAAATGATTTTCTGAAAAGTAGAATAATTTAAACTTCTAAGTTCTAAGATCAATGACTTGGGTTCACTGGATATATTGGAGGATTGATCTAATTTGGATTTTTTATTTGTGTCAGAGAGACAATTCGGTAAGAACAATCAAAAATCACGTATTTTTAGTCAAACGAGAGAAAATTATTTTTAACCTGAGTCCGAATTTAATAAATTTGAGTCGCGTCTCAAATTCGCCAAAAACCGGTTGTGAATTGATCACCAGCTTAAATCTTGAAACATTCAATACAATTTAAAGGTGAACCAACCATATTTGAGTCGTGGCTTTAAATTAGGACTCAGGAACTAGATTGAATGAATAGTGAGAAGTGGTTAAACCTCGTACCGGCGTTTCAAGCAGTTCTCTTTAGCGCCGGGTAAAGCTAGAGAAATAAATCAGCACGGTTTAACTTCTAAACTTCTCCCATTCATTAAATTTGGTCTCTAGTAAGAACACAAGCTTTTCATCTCAACTAAAATATTTTTCAGAATTTTCAACGTTTAAGTTTTAAAATGTAATGTATATGTTAGTTAACGAACAGAACACATGAGCTTAACTTTTCCTTTCTACCCTTTGTTAGTTGTATTATTTGCTGCAAATAGTCTGAAAGTCTGACACTACTAAAGGTGAGGGGTCAAGGGTTTGTGTACAGATTATACTGTGATGAATTAGGACTGCTAGGAACTAGTTCTATCAAATGACAAAAAAGATTCTAACAAAAGGCTGAATATTCTTGGAAATTAACAATATTTGTTCATTTATCATTAATCCAGTTTCTGAGCAGTTCTATTACGCCGCATAAAAAAGTACGCAATCCATTTTCCCATTCACCATATATGATACTTTGCTTTATTTTCCCCTTCACCATATATGATACATCTGATCACTTTGCTTTATTTTCCCCCTTCACCATACATGATACATCTGATCATTTTGTTTTATTTTCCCCTTCACCATACATAATACATTTGATCAATTTGCTTTATTTTCCTCTTCACCATACATGATACATTTGATCACTTTGCTTTATTTTTCTCTTCACTATACATGATACATCTGATCACTTTGCTTTATTTTCCCCTTCACCATACAT